ACTTCATGAAGACAAAATGGCGGCGGGAAAAAAAAAATAGAGGGTTGCTGTAGGAGAGTTGGTCGCCAAATTTTCACCAAAAAAAACGCCAAGTTACCATAATGTAAAGATCAACCATTTATTTTTTAACATTTATATAAATGACCTTACTACTGACCTATTGAAGATTAGTGATATCAAATTCCTATTTAATGCAGATAATTTGGTTATCTTGAAAATCCCCCAAAACAAGCTATATTACAATCTGAAACTTCTTTAAATCAGGCTATAAATAAAGTAATTGGTGTCATGTTAATAATATGGAAGTAAATCTAGGAAATCTTTTCCCTCATACACCAACTGATCAAGCTGGATTTATTTTACCAAAACCTCCCTGTTCTTCAGACCAATCACTTCTCTTATTTATGTGTCATTTTTTACCATAAACTGACATGGAAAGAGCACATTACAAATATATTGGAAAGAGCTACTAAGATACACACTTTGCTGAAAAGAATTAATGGCTCTAATTGGGAATGCTGCAGGAGAACCCTTGATCTGACCTATAATTCCTATATTTTGCCACTTTATTACTTACTGTTCCAAACATTTGGTGGTGGCAGGTAAGCAAATTACTGATACGTTAGAAAAATTCTATTCCCAAGCCCTTCATCTCATCATGAGAGCTATTAAGACAACTTTGATTGATATCTGCTCAACATATGAGTATTAAATTAGTAATCACATAGAAGGCACCAATTTTATGAGAAAAGATCGCAAAGACTACGGGAAATAGCCCTTTGTCATCATCTTTGCAGAACCTTAAAATCCAGTATGGTTTCCTTCAGAGAGTTTTTGATATAAAAAACAACTAGGATTGAACCGGGATGGGAAACCTCAGCAAATCAAAATGTTCAGTTGAAGGAGGAAAGTACATGGATAGGATAAACCTGTTAAGTGAGGTTTCTAGAAAAGAAACTAATGACTTAATTCTAAGCCTTGGAAACTCTCCATGAATTGTACTCAGATAATGAGTGGCTGCTTGTGTTTACAGACAGCTCCATGTTGAATGACCATATTAATGCTGGCGTCTCGTGCAGGCTCTTCTCATTTTACACTCCTGTTGGAAGGTTTAAAACAGCCTTTGACATGGAGATCTCTGCAATTCAAATTACCGTATCACAGTTCTGATGCCAATCTGAAAATTTCTGTGCCAGCACACTGTGGATTCCAGGGTAATAAAATAGCTGACTCCTTGGCAAAGAAGGCAACCAAAATTGAGAGGCTATTGAAAAAATATCAAAGAGGCAAACAAAGAAAAGAAATGGATTGAGGAAATCACAAATATTCCACTATGGCCAAGGGATATATCTGTCGCCACTTTTTGGCCTCGCTGCTAACCATAATTGCCTCTCCAAGCATCCGTATCGTATAAAACTATTGCCAAGTCCTCTTTGCTAACTGTGCAACATTCATGAAGAAATGGATGTGAACTATTTGATTTAATTGCTCTGGGCTTCGGGTCACTTGTGGGAGAAATACTGGAGAGCTCGGCACAAGATTAACCATTTGTAGACGTAACTGTAGTTTTATTATTTGTTTCTTCTGTTTGTATTTCTGACTACAGTTGTCTTCTAATCTGCCATTGAAAATAAAATAAAATAAAATAAAATAAAAAAAAAAAAACACACCTATGCTGTACAAAGTTTGAGATGCAGACTTGTTGGGTCTTCGTTCATTCCAGATTTTAGATCACCGGTTTAAATGTAATAAGATGACATGTAAAAATTATAAAATTAGAAATATGAAATAAGAAGCATTTATGACTTTAAGGGAATCAAAATTTACACACACACACACACACACACACACAAAAAAAAAAAAAAAAAAAAAAAACGTATTAAACATGTGTTTTAATACAAGTTGTTTAAGTTTTTTTTTTTTTCTTCTGCTAATGCTTTCTCCTTAATTTTATAGACAGACATTATTTCTTATTCTGTGACAAATGTCCTGTGATTAACCATGCTGAGAATTCCCACTAAGTTGTTCAAAATTTTTTTATTCTCAATAACCTTTTTGTCATTTTTTTCACAATTAATTTTTGGATTTAGAACCATAGTGCAGATTTCATCGCTCATCAGTTGATTATTACTGGGGCATTGTCATTGCAATTGGATATTTCTGTTATATCATATTCATTCATTAACATTTCTTCACAAATTCCATTAATCAGGAAATTTCACTTTTTGTTTTCAATATCCGAAAACCTTCAAATTGGCGACTCTCATCATATAGCATAGCTAGCATCCATTATATACTATTGGCAATGTATCCAGAGATTGGTGACTAAAAACATGTTATTCTGCTAAATTTTATCTTGCTTCTATGCTTCACATGCTGAAGAAATTTAGCCTGAATTAGTTTATTTATTTATTATACTTTTCCTATTTCCCCCACGTTCTTAAGGCTTATTCGAGTCCCGAATAAATGAATTCCCACATATACTTAAGGGTGTCCCACATATACTCTGCATGTTCTAAATTCTGTTGCTAAATGCCTCCTGAAAATTTTGTATCCCAATGTCTTTCCTAAATTATAAAGATTTTGCTGCTCAGTGCTTCTCTAAATTCTAAACATTTTACCTGCTCTAAATTCTACTCTGGTGCCAATCTTAAGCTTATCTGAATAACAAAACAGTTATTCTCAATTTAAAAAACACATAATATAATTCTTTAGGCTATGAGTTTCATTTACAAAATCTTGTTTTTGTATATGGAAAGAAATTTATTAAATTTCTCTTCATCTTTCTTGATCACTCAACATTTCACAGTGCAGCTAGCTTTAATCATTGTCAAGCATAATGTCAACATAAAAGGTTACCATGCTGTTTGGTAACATTACTAATAATGACAAAAAATTTTTTTAGATGTCACTGCAAGTCATTTTTAAAGCTTCTGTATGTTGATTGTCATGCGATGATGAAAGAAAAAAATAATAAGGTTGGCATCGGGGATATAAATGATTCAGTAGGTGTAAAAATTAATGATGTTTTAATGTAGAATGTATCCGTTTGGGTTAGTCTATATTTTAGGGTGCCTCTTGGATTATCGCCAAGTTGTTGTATCATGTTGTATCATTTATTGCCAAATTGTTGTTTCATTTATGGTAGCCTGAATAGTTGAATGTTATGGGAACCCTATTATGACGTGATTGATTGCTTGATTGAAATGAATATGACTGATGGGAAAATATTTGTAAGGGCTTATTTCTGCTTTGGATGTCAGCTAGAAAGTACGTTGTTTATTTTGTGTTATACACCATAAAATGTCTGTATGAGTTAAAATTAATCTGCAATTTCTGTACAATTTGGAATAAAAGGGAAAGAAAGCATTGACTGGTGTGTAAATGAAGGTTTACTTAGTCATTATAAGTGTCCTGTTTGTATGAAGGAAATGCATATGGTCGAACATAAAGATCGTTCAGATGGCTTTGATTGGGTTTGTTGCAAGAAAGGTTCATGCAAGAAATGCCGACAGTCTGGCACTACAAGAGGATGTGGTGACGGCAATATGCTAATTTTAGAAGCTGTTAAGGAATTTTGTGTGTTACAGACTGAAGACATAGAAATTTCTAAATATGGCAAATCAATATTTCCTTTTTGTAGTGCCTATATGTGATAACATGTATTTCTTTTTTTATGATATTTCATTGTGTGATTTAAAATGCAGTTTATTGAGCTTTAATTGGCTATAAATTTTGTTCAAGTTTGGTGATGAGTAACTTTGTTTTAACATTATATGATATCATCATTCTCCTGATTTTTTGTAAGTGAAAATAGATCGATGTGTACATGGACAAAGTCAAGGGAACACACAGTGCTGAGTTCGTGCAATTCTCTGATTTTTTTTAAATAAAAATAAACCAATGTATACATGGACACCGAGTTTGTGCAATTCTTTTACGTGTTATTTTGGTTTTGTGTAGTGGCCATCTTGAAATTGTGCCTTGCTGGCCAATCGCCAATTTTCGCCAAGGGGCACCCTGAAATATATTTTTACCTCAGTTTGAAATGTTTGAAAAGCAGAAAAGTAGCTATGGGTCTAAAGATTGAAACGTACAGATTTGTGCTATTAAATGACTGTTTCTTTAGTATGGAGGTATTTTGTAAGGAAATTAAGAATCGTGACTGTCCACATGTTTTAATTTGAAAAAATGTCAAATGTGAATGCGTAAAGCATATAAAAAATTCTTTAAACAAAATTGCTGTCAGTCCAGAGGTCCAGATTTTAGATCATTCTGGATATTGGACATCCAGATTTTGTACTTTGTACTGTATTTTCAAACATCTTTGGAATGAATATAGCAAATCTAAGGATCAAACTAAATTCAAACATTGACTTTCATAGTTAGTTATACATGTTGAAATTATAGTCTTGGGTGCAAAAATCCTGTTATTTTATGACTATTGAAATGGTTTTAAAAATGAGCACTTATTTTGTAAACTTAATAAATAATTTTTTTTAAGAAGACATTTTTTAAAGAACTATTATATATATATATATATTTTTTTTTAAAAAAAAAAGCTTCAGTGTGGTGTGTATTTTAATTATGGCAAAGCACACTAGGATTATCTGCCTAAGGGGAGAATACCTTCGTGGAGGGCTTTCTAAGGGAAACTGGCTTATATACACGTTACACATGGGGAAAACCACGAAAACACCCATGCAGCCAGCCCGTTCGCAGATTCGAACCTCGGACCGAACTACCAGTGTTCAGCCACTTTACTGCTCAGCCGCTGGTGGGCTAAAGCTTCAGTAGAACCGTAAAGTTCATGATAGTCAATCATGATCCTGAACTGATGTTATGTATCATGAAATATTTGAGCCTTTTTCAATAAATCATCACATCAAAATTAAAAAAAAAAAAGAGAAGAATGTGCACTTTGTTAAGTGATCTGTTTAGAGCCTTATGTTGATGTACGTATATGGAAATTTTTATAGATATATTATTTTTCTTTCCAGGATGATATCATATAATGCTTGTGAAGCCCTGGGCAGAGAAGTTATGGAAAAAATTTCTTACCGTAATCAGCAGCATAAAAACAGTGTAGCAAGCAGTAAGGTAAGATATTATTTCTTGGTATAATTATACACATGTAAATTAGTTCCCCTAATGCATATTAGTGTATAGTTTTACATTGTTCTATTTGCAATGTGTAGAAATGGGTCACATTTTTATAAAATAGAGCTGCATGTTATTTGTGATTTGCAAAGCAATATTTTAAAACTCTTAGGTACAACTCTAATATACGCCTTAATTTCACCAAATGTGGTGATATGTGTTCTGCGCTGGTTTTTGGCGCGATTGCGTGTTCTATGGCAACCCTGTTGACGTTGAAAAATTTCGCTGAGCTTGGTTCGCTCTGTGTCTGAGAAAGATGGGAGGGAAAGATAAAATGGTAGTTGTTGAATTGAAGTTCGGCAAAGGAAATATGGGGGGGGGGGGGGGGGGGGGGGGGGGGGGGGGGGGGGTGGGGGGGGGGGGGGGGGGGGGGGGGGGGTAGTGGGTATTTAGAAGTGTGGAAAGAGGGTCTGGGAGATTATTTTTAATGGCAGTGCATGATAGAAGTAGGGATGTGATTTTTTTATTGTGAACCATAGTATAAATTTTCTGGATAGTTGTGTCTGGCTGTGAGTAAATACGATAGTGATTACGTGGCGGTATGAATTATATTTCTGCTATTCGAAAACGCGTTATTCATGGTAAGTGCATTTATTTATCCTTGTTCTTATTTTGTAGAATGTTATGTTCATTCGTCTTTAGTATGAATTCTGTCGTTATTGTTGTTTTTTAAATTGTTTGAATTTATTTAGTTTATTTTGTGTTTAGTGTCCAGACTGTATAATTCGTAGATGTTTTTTAAAGTTGAAACAGAACGCTGTGTACAGGTATTATTTGAAATTTATTGTTGTTATGTTATTTATTAAGTGAGGAGTGCGTAGATCGTAGATACATTCCTGCCTAAATTGTGCAATCGTTAGAAATTTTTTAAAGTTTAAACAGGATGCTGTGTACATGGATTCTTTGAAATTTATTGTTGTTATGTTAATTTATTAAGCGAGGTCTGCGTAGTTTTAGATTCATTCGTTGCCTACATTGTGCAATTCGTAGAGTTTTTTTTAAGTTTAAACATGTCGCTGTGTACATGGATTCTTGTCAAATATTTTGGTTAGAAACTTTACGTTTTTGCTATCTAAATTTTTTGTTTTTGTTTCGGATTTTAGCTAAATTGTGGTTCAAAACGTAGTTTTTGCATGTGCGAAAACCGCGTTTTTGGAGACATTTTAGGCTAAAAGTTCAAAATGTAGACAAAAAATTTAGATAGTAATATGGCAGCGCAAAGTTTCTCGACAAAAATATTTGGCGAGAAATTTGGCGACTTGATGGCGCATATCAGAGTAGTTCCAACTCTTATTGTCAATGAAATAATACTAATGATTGTTTGACTTACTTATACTAATGCTAGTTTTGCTAGAAATGTTAGTATTTTATTGAGTGGTAGAAATAATGCAAGCTTTATTCTGCTTATATTCTTCATGTATTTTAGTATAGTTTATATTTGAGTTGTTCGTGTTCATGATTTATCCTTCTCATTCATTTTGTTTGAATGTTTGTAGCCTTGATTATCGGTACTGATTATAATTTAGAAACAGCAAGAATCACAAAGGAATAGCGAAGTTTACTGCTTTTATTTTTTAGCTATCAAAATGAGCTGCCTCTTGAATAATAATACGACATTTGAAAACAGAATATCAGGAATCACTACTAGTTGCCATTCTGCATAAAAGAAATATAAATATGAATAAATGCTTGTTGCCATTCAGCATAAAAACCACGGCTGAAACTCTCTCTTCTATTTGCTCTTTCACAGAATAAACTCTTTCTTCTGTTTGTTCTTTTGCAGAATAAATTCTTTCTTCAATGTGACCAACTTTATTATCAAAAGCATCAATTCTGCCTCCCATAGTCTCAAATTTGTTTTCTATTACGCAGATAATTTCTCTTTTCATTTCTTTTAGACCTGCTTCAAACTTTTCTTTAACAGGTTCCTGAACAGCTATCATTACTTCTTTAACAGATACCGTATTTGACGGCATATAAGACGCACTTTTTTTCTTAAATTTGGTCTCAAAAAAGTTACCTGCGTCTTATACGTGAAGGACACAGGTTAACTTTCAATACTGAATGCTATTTTTAGCCCGGATAAAGGTCTAGACATAACTTTTTCTGTATCTACATGTGTGTGGCCTTCTAAATAAGGGTGCGTCTTATATGCCATCAAATACGGTACTTGACTTGCTTCTATCATTCTTGAACAGCTTTCATCTCTACTTTAACGGATTCTTGTCCCACATTAATCTCTTTTTTAAAGGATGCTTGGCCTGCTTCCATATTTTCTTGGAATGCAGCAAAAGCAGTGATGAGCTGCCTTAATTGTTCTTCCACTCCTCTAGTTATTGGCATTCAGACCCTACTCCTGACACCAAAAAGTGTTGTGAGTGTACGTGTTCATAATGGATTGAATGCACAAGTCGATAAACAGTTAATAAAATTCATTCTTTTTCCAAGAAATTAAATAAAATGGTGAAATTTTCTCAGAGATATTCGTACAGTATCACAATATCTCACAGTAGTTATATTTTAAACTACTAAAATATAAATAGTACTCCATTCAAAACAAAGAAAGCTAATTCAATCTCACCATGAATTCGCTACAATCAACAACAAGAACTATGTAAACAACAACTGAATCAAGATGTTTTTCTTCGGCTAAGCTTTCTAATCCAGCACCAGAAAATTCTGGTATTTTCTCCATTTTTCTGGGGATATCAAAAGAGTATAATTACGAGATATCTATTTATTAAAATGTTAAATGCGTGTGCTTCTGTATTTTAATTTGCCTGGTGTAGCTTTCTCTTCAAATAAGTCTCGTGCTGCATTACACGGGAATATAAAACAATTTTAATTACAAATTCTACTAAAAATAGCTAAATAAATACAAAATCCATAACAACATGTTGTTAAAGTATGCTTCTTTTGTAGGCCAGTGCACATGCTAGGAAACTAATCAAGAAATATGATGACAGTATGAAATCTTTGAAGCAAACTCTATTAGCATCAAAAAGTCTACTGTATCCTTTTCTTTCATGAGTTTAAATAATCATTTTCTTAAAAAAAAAATAAATAAATAAATAAATAAATAAATGTTGCATTGCTGAAAAGAGAGGAAAATTAATATTTATGACTGCCAAGTAAATTATAAGTATTTTTCAGTACTTCTTAACCCCTTAACTGCCGCGGGCGTATATATACGCCTTGCTCAGCCGATGCGTTAACTGCCCCAGGCATATATATACGTCCTTCCAAACTGCTATCATTTGCTTTGCGCTGCTACACCTAAAATTATTCGCAAAGTTAACGCATTGGCTGCGCATCTGGGGCAGTTAACGCATCGGCTGAGCAAGGCGTATATATACGCCCGCGGCAGTTAAGGGGTTAAAGAATCTTTGTTATAGCAGCCCCCGTGATAGAATCGCCAATCAGCCAAGATATCTCCCCAAAATCTGGTTGTGTGTTTTTATACTTTGCCACATGATCGTATAGTAGCACCATGTTGCATTTTTTCTCTTGTCATGTGTTATTTATTATATTATTCGTTTTTGATGAGGTTTTTCAATTCACATTGTTTATTTAAAAATATATTCATTACTTTTTAGTGATTATGGTAATAACAATCTTTAATTTATCTGGTAATAAGATGGATGCCATATAATTTTCTTCAAGAAAGAGGTCTTTTACCTGACAAATGAGTGTGTGAAAATGGTCACAACATAAAACTTAATGTTAACGACGAATGTTTGTTTGGAAGTGCAGTTTTGAAAATTGCAAAAAGAAGAAGGGCTTTCATGTTTGAAATTGGTTCAGCAGTTCCAAAATATCGTTCATCACTACTATTAGATTTATGTATTCTGGGGCAGAATAGTTGATGTTTATGAAATGATGTAACAAACAGCTTAATATGTGTGAAATCGTTGCAGTTGACTGGAGCAATTACATGGGGTAAAATAATAATAATAAGCATAAGAATAAGGATTCTTAAAAATATTAAATGACATGTGAATATTATTGTTATTATTATGTATTATGTTGTTTATTTTTACATTCTCACTTCACAAGCTTGGAAAAATTATGGCTGAGATCTTGGCATAAATCTAAAATCGCCAAATATGGTTGGGGCCCACTATAACAAAGAAGTACTCATTTTTCTTAGTCCAGTATGTATGGATTTACCGATATGAATATAATATGTAGTTGCTTACCTTGCCTTGATTATGCCAAGATAAATGTTTTTGAGGCTTTAACAAACTATATCTTACCTGTAACCTTACATATTTATCAATATTGCATGTAAAAAAACATATACACAGTACAAATTGAAAGGTAAAAAGGTCCATGTACACATTGAAAAGGGAAATGTATTTTATTTCCAGTTATATATTGCAGTGCAGTACATTACGATGCACTTCTGTGGTGCAGTACATCTACCAATTACTAAATTTGGTAAACTTTCTGTATCCAATGTAATTTATTTTTCTCTAAATATTGTTTTCGCTTAATAATGTGCATTGACAGCAGTGTGTTATAGTTCACGAAAGGTTGGATGAATTCCTTTTCCTAATTAATTATAATTATTTAACTTTTTTAATATTGAAAGAGTTTAAAAAGTGATTTGTACTGCAAAATGTGAGTATAATAAAAACTTTTTTGAGTTAATTATAGAGACAGTACTTAATTTTTCTGTTCAACAGTTTTTTAAAAGCTAAGTTATCTTGGAAAACATAATGCAATGCATTTTGGCCTAACAGAGTTAATGTTGACACAAATCTTGTTAGAGATAGGAATAGCAAGCATAGTGATATATGAAGTGAAAAGCCTTCATGAAAAGAATGGCTATTAAATCCAAAAATGAATTTTAAAAAGTGTACAAAAACAGAAATTTACACACATCCAGGGAAAAGAAAATACATGATATTAGTCCAATAGAGAGTTCTACAATGATTTATGCATAGTTGCAGAGCAGAATTCAACGAGTATAAGTCTTGATGCCAGAAATAAATAAACCAAATTTCTGTTTGAAAAGGAAGTTTAAGTTAGAAAAGTTAAAAGGAAAGTCAAATTATTAAACCAGCACATCTCCTGTGTAAACCTTTCTTCGTTTAGCATGATTTTTTGTTGCACTATCATTTTGGTACCTCGGTAATAACAAAATTTAATTTTGTGATTTTGCATGCAGAGTCTCTCAGTATGGATGATACCTTTTTCTTGGATACCTTTTTCTTGATCATGACTGTTCATTTTTAAACTTTATAATTCATATTAATTCTTCTTCTTTTTAAATCAGTATTGTAATAAAAAATTGTAAAATTTGTCACGAAAAAGTGCTGGATTCATGGCCAATCTTCTTGTTTATTCTCAATGATGCCATAGCACAGTTACATATGAGGTGAAATAAAGGTTACCACATTTAGCATACAGTTATGACTGGTGCCCAGTTAATTAAAAGATACCTATAATACGTATGTTAAAGGAACATTTTTTACAATATTTTAAAATTATTTTAATAAGGTTGCTTATTATAAATATTGTTTATTTGAAATAATGAAATCATTGAATGAAAGAATCAAAATGAGCCAAAAGAATTTGTACACTAAAATTATTCTGGGTATAATTGTTAATAACAGCAATTTTTAAAAATAGCTAAATAATAAAGTAACAAAAAAATCATGATTGTACTCATTTTTTTTAAGAGGAAAATATTTAATTTAGAAGCATTTTACAGTAAAAATTTTAATTTTTGGTCTGTGTGAGAAATCTCACCCTTCCAGCCTTTTCTTTGATAATAATACTGTTTGCTTGAAATAAAATACCCACACACACATGTGTATGTATATTTCATATTACATTGAGCTTAACTTTACAAAGCACTGAAGGTGAATTTGAAAGACGACAGAGGCTTCTCGATACGTTGTCAAGCAAACGAGTGCAGATCGATGATGCATTTAACTACAGAGAAGAAGGTGGAAGCAGGTGAGTAGTTTTTTATATTTTTAAGGGGGGGCACCCTGAGAAATAAATTTTTAATTATTGTATATTGAAACTGTGAATATTGGTCTCACAAATTAGGGTCTACCTGTGATTTTAATGTATAATAATAATGTTAGACTATCTATGATATTCTTGTAATCTGTTTTTCAATTTTATTTTAGAAATGCTTTGCTTAGTGGAAATCTTAGTGGGTATTCTTCAAATGTTTGGGATATAGAAGAAAGTGAAGCAACAAAGGATCTCACAGTTGATGAAATCAGAGAGCAACAGAAACTAGCAATTAAAGGTTTATTATGTATTAAATTGTTTATTTGTTAATATCTTTGGTGTTAGCTAACTTTTCAAACTGATCCATTTCACTGTTCTTCTCTAGTCCCTTCACTTCAAGGGGAAAAGTTTTGTAGTGAGATATAATTAAGAATAAATCTTAGAACCTAAGGAAATATAAAATTAACAATATTTTTTTTCAAAACACATGATGAGATTTAGAGCACTGTTTAATTTTGAAACCTGGAGGGAAAAAATTCTCTATTTAAAAGCTTAATTACTTAACATTTTGCTGTATAATCACTGCTAATCTTGATAAATTTATGCAGATGGTAGATGCACTGATTATAGCACTTACAAAAATTATCTCTTATTCAATTAGTCACGTGCACTGCTTTATTGATGTCTTTTTTTTTTTTTTTTTCTTTTTCTTGGTAACCTGTTTGTTCTTCTAGATTTTTTTATCAATGACTATGATTATGTAGTTCTTTTCATGATGTAAGAGTCTTTATTTGCAGAAAAAATGAGAAAGTATTTGGTGTCTGACTTAAAAATAGTCTAATACTTGAATCAGAATAATTTCTGATGTTCCAATAGAAAGGGAGGTAGTTTTTAACATGATATTTTTTTTGAAATAATGCAGTTAATGTTTAAGTTACTAGTGTTGGTTTAACCCTTAAGTAGAATTAGAAGAAGCAGATTGGCTCTCACACCATCAGACTCAGGTTCATATTCTGTTATATCCAGTGGCGTAGCTAGGGTGGGGCAAGGGGGAACATCTGTCCCCGGGCACAGCATCCAAAGGGCGGCAAATTCATGCTACGAAATTTTTTAATGAAATGTTTTCCATTTTTGGCACACCGAAAGGGGCACAAATTCTTCAGTTGTCCCCGGGCGCTGGAAACTCTAGCTATGCCCCTGGTTATATCCTGTATCTGATTCTGGTGTCCTTGGAACATTTCACTTTTGAAGCCAAAATTCTTAAGGATTGAAAAAAATTTTAATGCCAGATGTATTTGTCTTTTGTACAGAAACAAAATAGTTCACTATAGAAATAAAAATTGTCTTGAAAAGGTGTATGATAGAGGGAAATCTTCAGATTACATTCTGTGAGTGAAAATTAAGATAGAATTCTGGCAATTAACAACTGTCATGTTTTTTTGCCTAAATTAAATAGCCCAATTTTTGTTCAGTTTTGCTGTGTACAAAGAAAGGGTAGACATGAGCTTGATAATGTAGCTAGTTTCAGCAGTTTATTTATTTATTTATTTTTTTATTTTATGTGTACTAGAGGTTTGTAAAGTGTATATTCAAAGCTAATTTTTTGTTTATTGCAGTTAACAACTAGTTAGCAATGCAGTCTTCCATTCCATGAAAAGAGAGATTTTATATGCATCTATGTTATATTGTTTACATATCTTGTAATGAAAAACTTCATAACTTTGTGAAACATATGTTTAATCAACTGTGTTAATTGGTAGATTATAACTGAACTTTAAATTTATAACTGATTAAATGAACATCAATATTTAATGGTGATTTTTTTTTCTATGTATGCAATTTAAACTGTTTTATGTAGTCATTAGTGACAAAACTGCATTTATCTTTTCCAGAGCAAGATAAGGGTCTTGACACATTATATGATGTTGTAGTTCGTCAAAAACAAATGGCTCAAAATATTGGGCAGGAACTGGATTTGCAGAATGGTCAGTGAGTTACTATTCTGTATGAATATAATAAGTAATGAATTTTGAACTATATTTAACAAGGTGCAATACAGTGTTTTCTTAAAAGTTTGTTGATTAAATATTGATTTCACTCATAGAAAAATCATATTCTAGGGCACAGGATCCCAAACGTTTTCATGCTCCACACCCCTAAAAATTTTTAATATGTTCTCCCACCCTCTAAAGCAGTTTCTTTAAAAAATAAATAAATAAATAAATAAAAGTTGTATAATCAAATTTTAGTAATAAACAAAACATGGGAATAAGAAAATATTATACAATAATTAACATTTGCATAAATCTTTCAAAAAACTTAATGACTTTTTTGTTTCTGTTTATTGTGTTAGAGTTCTTCAAATTAGAGATCTTGGTTGCTGACAGCAATTCATGTATCTGCTTGTGCATCCAAGTGATTTCTGAATTTTGTTTTGCATGGCAAAAGGCATTAAATTTGGACTCGCACATTGCAAATGGGATGAACACAATTAGTACCTTTTCATAATTAAGTTTTGGGAACATATTCTTTACCAAACACCAATATTGTTCCAAAGTATTGCTTTCAAACTGCATTTCAAGAACATACTTATGCACAGTTTTAAAAGATCTTCAGTTCTTTATCATCTAAAATAACTTATGTAAATTTTTAAATTTCTTACTAAGGCTCAATAAAGATGTAGACCTTCGGAATGACTTTGTCTGTGTAGTCTGTGTAAAGACCTTAGGCTTCATGTTATCTCAATGGAAAGTAGAGTTGTACAGTTCTTTATCATCCAACATGCTATCCAGATCGAAAGTGTGTGGGTTTGTAAGCCATAATAAAGCTATTATTTGAAATTAACCAGCTACATTGCTGGCCACCGTAAATGCAACCCCCTGAAGGAAGCATGCAAATAACATGAAATTTACAACATGCATTAGCGGAGGTGAGATATGCAAATGATTAGAATTTCAGCGCACATTGATTAGATGCACGTCACGCGTGCCTGTGGCGCCACTTCAAAACACTATTTAAGGCTTGGAGTTTTCAATGATTTCAAATTCGGCAATTGTGTTTTTCTTGTGGTTTTTTCAAAAAAAAGATCAATTTTGCCTCATAGTAAACAGCGATCATTGTTTAATCAAGTATCCGAGTTCAACAGAGGAAGGATAGTGTCCTACCGAGAGTGTGGATTATCTTTCAGGGAGATTGGTAGTCGTGTTGGACGAAACCAAACAACTGTAATGCGGATGTCACCGTTGGATGCAGGAGGGTATGACGGACCGACATGTTCGATCGCATACGGTCAGTGAACCATTTCACGTGATGACAGGAACATTGTGCGCATGGCAGTGACGAATCGCTCAGTCACATCATGAACCATAGCACAGAACATTGAGTCTGTAACGCATCATCCAGTGTCTGCACGTACCATTCGACGTCGTTTACAGCAGGGTTGTCTGTCTGCAAGACGTCCATTGCTTCGTCTACCCTTGATGCAGAACCACAGATGTCTGTGCCGCCAATGGCGCGTTGAAAGAAGGATGTGGACAGCAGAATGGAATGAAATTGTCTTTACCGATGAGTCACACTTCTGTCTGTAACACCACAATGGTTGCCTGCACCGGTTATTATGGTATGGGGCGGTATTCTTGCACTTTAATACGCATTGCCAATACTTTAAACAGCCAGAGCTACATCTCCGAGGTGTTGGAGCCAGTTGTCCTTCCTTACCTTCAGGGCTTGCCCACAACCATATTTTAACAGGATAATTCACGACCGCATGTGGCACTCATTGTCCAAGGTTCTTCGTCAATGGCCAGATTGAATTGCTTCCCTGGCCGGCTCACTGTCCGGATCTTTCGCCGATAGAAAACATGTGGTCCATGGTTGCTGAACGTTTGACCCAGATTACATCCCAAGCTGTCACACCAGTCAACTTTGGCAACATGTGGAAGCTGCTTGGTCTGCTGTACCCCAAGAACACATCCAAAGTCTCTTTGAATCAGTGCTGAGGCGTGTGGCAGTGGTAATGTCCAACAATGGTGGCTACTCTGGTTACTGATTCTTGAAGGAACCACGCTTCACAGAAATCTATAAATTTAATCATTTGATACTTGGTTAACATATTATCTACTAAACAAATTTTGTTTGTGATAACTCTTGTCTTTCTTGGTGTTGCAATTTGGGTGGCCAGCAGTGTATTTATAATTTGAGCCTTTACTAAAACTTCTGCTTTCCGTTTTCTCACCAGAGTGCAAATCAGTGCAATAATATTTAAACTGAAGTTTTGGGATTGCAAGACAGAGCATGAGTGTCTCGCACGCATGTTTCCTGCCTTCTCTGATAAGCTGGTAATTATTCAGCTTTGGGTTATTGTTACCTTATAGAGCTATTACGCCAGCTTAGATTTAAATTTAACACTGTAGTCCTTGATTACTAGCCTACATTTTAATTTGAAATTTACTGTTAACTTACTATTACTTGTTAGTTCATAGTGATGTTACTCTACTAACTCTAGTAATGAATGCAATGTAACGATATTATTGCATGATATTTTCACATAAGAACAGAATAAAGGACTCTTTTACCCCCAAAAAATTATAAAACATATCTAAAATGAATTCTAAAGATTATTTTTCGTGGCATCTGTGTGTACATATGTGCGTACATATGGTTCGTGCATAACTGAAAAACAAGTAGCCTCAGAAAGTAGAAATTTTGTATGTAAGACTGCTATAACATGTAGATGTGCATCTCCATATATATCCACTCTGTTACTCAGCTAGTGAGCTCAGTTTCTTTATTCTTATATGTTTGTAACTTGTGCATTTTTGGCTTAAAAATGATTGAATTATGTTGTTCCAATCTTCTGGTTAAGGTTTTTATGCCTTTAGTAAATCTGCATGAAATATTTGTAGAATTATCAACAATTTAAAAGTTGTTTAAGTGCGGCTAAGCCTACGTATTTTTACCATGGTGTCCATGTTTGTTTACATTTGAAACTTGGCAGAATAGTGGATTTGTTGCCAATCTAGAGAAACTAAGATTTGCAGCAACAAAGATAACACCTTCATTTATTATTGGGAATTAAATCATGTTTAATCCATTCTGGAATTTATTTTAGGAAATAAATGTTTAAGATTTACTTCATAATTTTTAATATAGATATTTTGAGGTTTTTATGTATTTTTGCCTTGTTGTGAAGTGAGAACTCGATTAAGGGTCTAGGACTTTTCACTGTGGCCACTTCGCCATCGGGATGTTTCGCCATCAAGACATATTTATTTTCTTTGCATGACTGTGTTATATCTTGCCATATTATGCTCATATTAAATTTATTTAGTTTAATAATTCTGTTTACCTTTTGTATACTTAATAAAAGTTGCTTGTAATATATATAGTTATTTGTAAGTATGAGATATAAAGAAATTGGACATAGTTGGAAAATTACGTTAGTATCAAAGAGAACTGGGGCTAACCCTCTGATATTACAGAAGTTATATGCGGGTGCAATATTTACATGATTCATTAAAAGCTAGTTCAGAGAAATCACTCATACAAGCAGGAATTTCATATTTTTATGATGAAATCTAAATGGGAAACGGCATTACTTTGGAACCTTGTCAGCACATTACTCTCTTAAAATTAATATGTCATGTGTAACAATGTATTTGTATAAAATTTTACGCAAATAAGTCCTGTACATTATTTTATATAAAATGTTTATTCAACTAAATCAACTTAATATAATACGGAAAGATATTCTTCTCCTTAAAAATACCCATCAAATGAATTTGGTAATATTTCCAAATTACCCTCAGTTTCTTCACATACATTTTTAATTACTGACTTATACTTATCAACTATTTCCTCAAGTGATGGAAAATTAGAAAGATTTCCTAACTCATCGACACAAAAATTATAACATTTCTTTGAAATCATTTATCTTCTTGCAACATGTCAATATATTTATGTTTTTACCTTGGATATATACATTTTGGTCAGTTTTATGAGTGAAAATATCACTTGGATAGCCTAATTACTTAATATTCGTCTCCTTAAAAATACCCATCAAATGAATTTGGTAATATTTCCAAATTACCCTCAGTTTCTTCACATACATTTGTAATTACTGACTTATACTTATAAACTATTTCCTCAAGTGATGGAAAATTAGAAAGATTTCCTAACTCATCGACACAAAAATTATAACATTTCTTTGAAATCATTTATCTTCTTGCAGCATGTCAATATATTTATGTTTTTACCTTGGATATATACATTCTGGTCAGTTTTATGAGTGAAAATATCACTTGGATAGCCTAATTTTTAGTAACTTACGATTTCATTTCTCCATAATCCATTATTCTATTTTCTTATCTTTGGCATCATGAATGTTAATAATAATTTAAGAAATGTAGCCTAAAATATATATCAAGTGAATTAGACGTAAATAACTATGTAAGTAACGTAATATAAGTGTACGGATTATTTATTGGGAACAGAAGAGAAATAAGCAGATCATGAACAGAGAATCACTACAGTATGCAGTTAACTAACTAACATATATTATGTTGCACTATGTGACTGATGTAAACAGTGTGCGCGGCAGATCATTATCAATGCTTGCACGGGAAATATATTTTGCATGCACACTAGTGTCGTGGATATTTTTTAAATAATTTATTTTTAAAAATGAAAAATTTTAACTCGCACCCAGTAGAATGCTACCTTGCTTATCTGGTTGGAAACCCGTGTTCTAAGGAAATAAATGAGCAGGTATGAGGAGATTAAAACTCATTAGAATTATTCCAGATTTTTAAAAATCATTTTGTCTGTGTACTTGTATTAAATTGGGTCATCTGGAAAGCTCTTGGTTTTTCATTTTCAAGTCAAAGTATGTTTTCATTTAATTATTTTTTCAACATTATTTTGGTTTCAGTACAGTGCTAAGACTCGAGAACCCCAAAAACTCTTTTTTGTGATATTATGTTCTTTTATTAAAAAAAAAGAAGAAAGACACTAGTAAAACTGTTGTAAAATTCATGTTGTATATAGACAAAGGGCTCTTTTTGATGACCAATTTGAAGGTAGTTTGAGAAATTTAACTGCAGAAATTTCAGACTCAAAGATGATGCCCATTCTGGATAACCATCCTCTGTAAACAAGAAATTTTCACTGGAAATCCATGTTATAGAGTTCAAGAATGATCACTCAGACTAAATATTCAGAAAAGTTCAGCATATGATCATTTGAAGAACACTGTGTATGGAAGCTTTTACAATGTTTAGGCAGCCCATAGTTTAACAGAGCAGAATATGCTTGAATTTCCGCATGTTATTTTTTGCTGAATCAAAATAAAGAAGTTACTGTTTTGAAGCAACAACTTATTGATGATAAGATGGAAATGAGAAATGAATATTAAACAATAATGTTACAAGAAAAAATTATGGTTTAAGTCAAACAAACCTCCTTAAGTAACTGAGAGGGGTGCTTCACACCAAAAAAGTAATGTTTTATATGTGGTAGGACTACAGAGGAATTGTATAATGAATTGTTGATAAATCAGGCAATAAATTCAAGAGATACTGTTCCCAAATGGCAGTTTTAAAAGCAGAAATTAATGCAAAACATCTAGAACTGACCAATCATTGAGATCCTGTCTTCCCTCATAACAGTGCTTAGCCTTGTATTTTGATGAATGTTGAATAAGGACTTACTGAGTTTGGCTAGTATGTTTTGTGTGATCTCTCTCCCCAAAATTTCACACTTTAGCACCATGTATTTTCATCTTTTCACATCACTTCACTGAAAATTCTTTCAGTGGCTTGGAGTTCATGTCTTTGTCAAATCACACCGTGATAACTTCTTGATAAATAAACTAATGATTTTTTTAAGGAAGGAATTTTCCAGCTATTGGGCAGATGAGAAGTCGAAGAACAAATTGGTGCTGATGGCATTCAATTAAATTTTCTTATGTTTCTGTACTGATTCATTCGTATTTATCTTAAAGAAACTGCAGAACTTTCCCCAGATGGCTGAATATTACAGTTCTTTTACTAAATAGTAAAAGACAAGGAAATACATAATATTATGTTATTGAAATTTCAATTGCAGAGTTTCAAGATAAAATGTCATTTTAACTTAAGTTAGAACTTAGTAGTTTTATTTTTAAAATAATAGGGTCATATAAAATGTATAATTTAATGTTTAATAATGAATTAATATATATATATATATATATATATATATATATATATGCACACACACTTATATTTTTACTAATTTATTTCACATATACTAAAGTAAATTTTATAGACTGATAAATTAATTTTTAATTGATTTAAAAAAATATTTATGAATTATTGAGCATTATTTTTTATATTTAATGAAATATAAGGAACATGATAGCTACTTTATTTAATTGAAATTTCATCAGTATTATTATTAAGGATTGAAACCTCGTGGGAGGTTCCATTATCATGCTCTGAATTAGACCAATTATATCCAGTTTATTTTGATTGATAATAATGTAGTACCTGTGATCTTGTAACATAATGATTTGAATTTTTAGTTCTTAATATTTTTTTCAATCATATTTACCTTCCTGTCATTTTTGCAAGTAAATTAGTATTACAGAATATGTGTGTAAATGCAAAGAACTTAATGAGAACAATTCTTAATTATATTCAGAGTTCAATAGTAGGAGAAAAGTTTGCATTATAGGAAGAAGGCTGTTGTCTTAGTATTTTGTGATTTTTGGGCTGTATTTTATTGTGACATTTACATAAAATGTACAATCAGACCATAAAGCATCTATGACTATTTGCATCAATGCTTGTTTAGTATAGGCAATAGTATTTTTTAAAAAGTGAGCTGTTTTAAAAAGAATGCAGCTTTTAATAGTCTCTGGCATTAATGGTATAATTTTTGGGAAGGTTTGCATGACACTGCACAATTATTTTTATTTAACTTACTTTATTACTTATTGTCATATAACTTAAGTGAAGAATTTTTTTTAACTTTGAAATTTTTAAGTCCTGTAACTTGCAGATTGTTAAATTTCTGGATTTGTACGAGATTGCCTGTAAGAATGCATAAAAATAAACTGTGGTGTTAAGCATTTAATGCATCCAGCTAAATGTTGGCCAGTTACTGAAGAACTCAAGTTTGTATCATCTTTTCTTGCATTTTTTCCTTCCCAGTCAGTGATTTTGCAGTGTAAGAAAAAAAATGGTTTTTATGATGAAAGAATTCAGAACTAGGTCAAGCCATCACGATTTGCAAGGTCACAGTTCATCAATTGATGTAATATCTGACCGAAAGATTTCATGCTTAACATATCTTAGAAAAAGTATAAGATGCCAATCTAGAAACATCTTGACTCTGTGGGATCACAGGAATATAAAATTTTCATATTCCTGCAATAATTTAAAAATATTTATTTTCACTTTGGATCCCTTATTACTAAATCTATAATAAAAGAAATGTTTATTTACCACCACCAATAACAAAAATGCTTTGTTGATTAGCTTTATAAGAGAAAGAAGATATTGTAGGATGTGACTGAGGTGTAGTCATTTCATGAATTGGAGTTACCTACTTGAATAATTGATGATTCTTAATCCATAAAGATTATTATTTATGAAACTTCTTTACTAATTTTCTTTATACCTTTTTTCATACCTAAAAAAAATTAAAAAGGGGGGAGTATCTTTGGGCTTACAAAAATTAGGTAAATTAGCTGAGAGCATTTCAATCTCAATTAAGTGTATAACAATTCATTTAAATTTGTGTTATGTGTGATAGTCAGTAAATAGGTTGCATATGACTACAGAAATAAAAGTGTATGAAATATTTATGTGGATGCCAGTTTCTTTTCATTCTCATCTATATTAAAACTTTTATCCCATGGAGGTATGAAGGTCTTAATGCTTGTTGCATCTATGTCTTGCCTTTGCTGCTGCATGAGTCTTTGCCACATGTTGCCTAAAGCTGCCATGATGGACCAATACATTGTGAATCAGTGGGTTGTACATTTTTGGCAAATTGCAGATTGAAACTTCAGCATCATGTTGCCAGAAGATGATGCAGCAATCACATTTCACTCCATGTCTCTAAAACTTATTAATGGCATGCATACACATATGCACACACATACACACACCAATATGATAGTAATTTTTGCATTGCCTTGACATGTCCTATGCGATTAGTGATCAGATCTACTCATGACTTGGTATGAAGTATGATGCAACATTACCTAGGAACATGTTTTGAAGCTACTGATGGTTATTTGCTGTCATCCCATTGTCAATTTGTAACCTGCTTATTGACTATCTCATAAATAAATATAACTAATTATATTCTTAAAAGTTGAAATCTATTTAAAAATTAGCTTTTTATAAACCTGTTTGTTGTAATTTCAAATAAATACTTTTATTTCAGAAATAATTGAGGACATTGTCGACCATGCTGATGATACGAGAAAGCGTCTAATAACAGAAACTAGACATGTAGCCATTGTAGATAGAAAATCAGGATCATGTTGTATGTATATTTATTCACTGTCTTTATTTATTTTTTTTCTCCTTCTTATCTATTTTTATTTTTTATCTTTATCTATTTTTTGCTCATAAAATATCAAATAGTAAGTATCAATAGTAGAAATAGTATCAAAAGAAAACTATTGATTTTGTTTTCTGTTTTCTCTAAGTATGTTGAATAATCTAGGCATTTTCTCCCTTTAGGTTATTGGGTAATAATAATATTACTCTTCATTGCCATTGCAGTTGTTGCTTTAATTCCCGGGAAATAGGATTAATTGCAAATGAGGTAATTCTGTTATTAATATTAGAATAATAATGTATTGTTATCTGTTAGAATAATATGAGAAATGTAGATTGAAATTTGAGAAATGTTTGAAAACTAAAAATGTGTTATATAGCAAATGTATATACTCTGTGTTTACCATTAAGATTGTGGTAAAATCTGTTCGTCTTATTTAAAGATTTTCATGATTATTCTATTTTTTTTCCATTCTTCTTTTATTCATTTAATATATAAAACATGAAAAATAAAAAATTGCTAAAATTTTTAGTTCTACTGTGTTTCTCTTCTAAAAACTTGTGAGAAATGTTTTGTGCTAAACAGGGAATTGATTGTTGACTGCCATTTGTTAGGACACTGTCCAACATCATCAAAGTGTAACATGTCAGTTGAGGGAAATTCCCAGGTGTAAACCATGTGCAGGAGTAGATGTCCAATAAAGGAAGTCCTAACCTTCATTCATAAGAATTAAAAAAATTTCCCTGCAAATACAGTTTTGTATATGTAGGACAGACCTGTAGATTTTTAAAATTTAGGATGAATCAATTAAGCTAATGGTATAAACTGAAGAAGGTAAAAGATTTTCATGTTCCATTGTTGGGATAAAAATAATTTTCAATGGTCAAAATTATTATTCACCTTAATTTGGTCTCAGTTTTAATTTCTGGAAGATTCCAAAATTTTTTTCCATAGCAAACTCTTTAGCAGCATAGCATTACCCAGCATTCAACTAAGTGGAATATTTTAGAATTTAATAAAACACCTCCTCTAAAAATTTAGTAAATGAGAGATTTCTGTTGTCTATTAATACTTATGCATTGTCACTAAACAGTGTGATTTAGCACCAATAATAGATAAGCATGACATCACAACACAATGATAATTGAAAGAAATTAATTTAATGTAAACTCAGTTAATTCTTGATAAGCCAGTTTAATTTTTGTAAAGAATGATGTAAGTATCATTTTTCACACATTTATGAAAAAAATATATGTATTACTATTTGAAACAGAATGAGTATATTCAAAGTTACAGGGTGCAGACATAAAAAAAAAAAAAAAAATAAATAAAAAATAATAATAAAAAGCCACACATGACACTGAAAACAGATAAACAGTAGTGATATAATATGAAAAATTATGATAAGCAATTTAAGTTTTGTATGCTATATCCATAGTTTGTATTTCTTAATTATTCAACTAAATAAAGAATGATCCCTTCATTTAAATTTCTGCCATAATCATTGGTGACATCTCTACGAGCTTTCATGTTCAGTGGGATTTCATAAACAATTCCAATGTTCTACTTTCAGTTTCACCGTCTATGAAATATGTTTGCACTTATGTCCGATTTTTTTTTTTTAATCTCATATTTTAAATAATTTTGGTATTCAAGTTGCAAAGTTCTTTTTTTTTTTTTTTTTTTTTTCTTTTTTTTTAATTTTAGACGGGAAAATTTTTCCATTCATTTGGCCTCTCTGACTTTAATTTCATTTTTCATATGTTCAAATATTCAGAATTTTTGCATATCTGGAATTCAGCATTTCCTGAGCTTCCTGGATAGTTGAGCTTTTACTGCAATTGTCATATTACTTTGAATTTAAACCACAAAAGGAAATTAAAATTAGAAAATTAATAATAATAATAATTGTTACAAAAGTGCTGTCTTTGAATCTGCTGAGTAAGATTTTGAAAACTGTAAAAATAGTAAAAATTTAAATTAATCTTATAATAGTATTTGAAAAAATAAGAAACAATTTCATTTATTTAAATGGATATTAACCTAATTATTAACATTAATATTAATAATATATTTAGATAGGAATATTTAGATGTACTACCACTTTTGACATCTTCACTTTTAGAACCTTCTGTTCTTTATTATTGGACCATATCACATCATCTTCAGTGTCATTTAAAGCATTAGTAATGCAGCACTTAAAAAATAAAAGATTTCTTGATGTTTTCTTCAGGGATATCATTGGGGTCATTGGGAAGTGAGAGATTGGCAGAAATAAGCTGTTAAAATATTCATTTTGAATTTAAGCCACACCCTAATTTTACGTCTTAAAACATTTGAATAAAATCTTGAATTCAAAATAATATAGTATACATATAGAAATATGCAAAATGTAATATAGTTTTCCCTCTGCCTCTAAGAATTTTTTTAATCTTTATATTGGTTTCCAGACTTGGGATTTTGTATGCAGAACTTCGAAAAACGTGTATATTTAAATATATTAGCTATATATCACAATTAATTTCAGGGAACTTATAAGCATTTTTTTTCCATTTTTGTTTATCTAATCTTAATATATTAAATATATTTTTAAATAATGCCAAGTATATTGAAAAGTAACTTCTTTTTTCTTTAGTTTCAGTACTGCATCTGTTAGTTTCCCCCCTTCAGTTATTTAAAATAATGTGTGAATATTTATTAGGCTCCAATAATTGATGCTTCTTTCATCTTGTGAATGCGTTAACTTGAAAAGTATAAAATCTTTTTAATGTAAATTAAGAGGTTTTGAAAGAAAACTCAAATTTAGTTGCTCATGATTTCAGTGAAGAATAGAATTATGTGAAAATGAAAGATTCACAGTTCAGAGATTGTGGCTATAAACAAGCATTAGCAATATAAAATTTTTATTTTGAAATAGTTCATTTATTATTAGTAACTATTAAAAAAAAGGGAAATAGGAATTAGACTTGATCTAAAAATGATTGGAAACTAAGAATTGTTTTCTTACCATTTTCTAAGAAAAAGTGATAATTGATTTTTCCTCCTCTTCAAAATTCTTTGCTGAAGACAATGCTTCGTTAAGAATATTGAGTTGTATAGTTGAAATTCCTTTAATGCTGTTTAGTAACTTCTTTCTGAAGGAGTAGTTGAAATTTTAAACAAATTCAAAAATTTAAGTAAAATAAACGTTATTAAACCTTTTAACTAGGATTCCAACCTCTTATTCTTCAAATAAATGACAGCAGAATGAATATAAACTCCTATCAGAGAACATTATGTTATTTGTCTCTCAAATTGCATTGAGTTTTTTCTTTTGAAGATGATCCTAGATAGCAGTTGAATAATTAATTCTTATGCAATTGCAATTTTTGTAAATTTTAAAATAGAACAGGAAGAAATAGATTATATTATATAGATAAGATACAAAATATGCAAAATTAATTTCTGATTTTAATTTATAACACTACCTAATATGTTTATTTTAATTTGGTTATTTCTGCTTTATATTTTAAAAAGACATGAACTGACAATTTTTGCTTTTGGAAATATGTAAATATTTAATTATGCATATTTTCCCTAGAAGATACTTGTGACCAAAATAGTTTGAAATACTATACTATATTAAATTTCATAAATTGGAATCATGGGTCTATAATCAGCCATCCAAGTATTTTTTTTCTGCAGTCTTTTTGAAACAGCATAGATGTATGTGTATGTAGATATACATATATATATATATATATATATGATTCATCTAAACTTTTAATATTATAAGTAGCTTGTATGTTATTGTGTAAAAATAACTGTAATTAAAATGTCCCAAAAGAGAAACTGTAAAAAATGTATAAAACGTACTATATTTTTGCAACAGATTCAAGTATTTACAATTTTCTCAATATAGTAAATGTCCGATAATGCAGCATCCTGTCATTCAGCATATCCAATAATTTGGCGGGCCTTTCATTGACATGCCTATAGGGTTGGATAAAAATATGGAAACACCAAAATAAAAACATATTGCTGTGACTAATATGGTGTTGAAAAACTGTTGGCATGCAAAACAGCTTCAGTCTTCTCAGAATGGATAAATACAGGCCTTGTATGCTCTGCAAGGGAATCTTATACCATTCTTCCTGTAAAACATTGGCAAGTTCAGTTAACAGTTATGGTGATGGATAGCACTCACATAGATTTCTCTCCAAAATAGCCCACAAAGGCTCAATAATAGTGATATCTGGTGACTATTGTAACCATAGTAGAAAGTTCACCTTCATGCTCAGAAAACCAATTTTGGATGATGCGAGCTAAGTGACTAGGAGCTCTGTCATTTTGGAATATGGCATCGCCACTGGGGAACAAAATTTGTATGATGGGTTGGACATGATCAGCCAAAATGCTTACATAATCTTTGGCAGTAATGTGAACTTACACAGTAATGATAGGTCCCATGGAGTACCAAGTTACGGCTGCCCAAACCATGACCGAACAGTCACCATGTTTCATTCTAGGCAGCAAACAGTCTCTATCATACACTTGGGACAGCGTTCGCCAGATGTCTGGCATCAGAAACTGTGCAAAACTAGACTCATCTGACCCCAAACCAGTCTTCCATTGCTCTACAGTCCAAGTTCGCACCACTTTCTCCTCTTACATGCATTTTGATTACTGATGAGTGGCTTTTGAATTACAGCTTGTCCAAAAATACTCTACTTGCAGAGCTCCCTTCATATTGTTTTGGTGCTGACAGGGTTTGTGAGTGGGAGATTCAGTTTAGGAGTCACTTTTGTGACTGTAGTCCTGTTATTTTTCATTACAATCCTTTTCAACGATTGTCTGTCATGATCACTTTACATACATTTTTGTCTGTGCTGTGATTTAGTGGATGTGGGTTTTCCATTTTTCATGTACGAATTAAAAATCTTAGATATTATGCCTCTTAAAACACCAAACACTTCAGTTACCTTGATTACGGAAGCACCCACCATATGAACCCACATTTGAATTCATTTAGCTCCATGACACAACTGTACAGAACACTATTTTGATAATGAATGACACTTGCAAGGTATTGAGGATGTTGAACAGGTGGCGTTAGTAAGCAAACACATCAGTGCCACCAAACAGCTTTTGCAAGAATAAACATTTCAGTTTAAACATGCATTTTATGAGGTGTTTGTATATTTTTGTTCAACATCTGTCAGTTTTGGGATAACTGTAGAGTACATCTTATGGCCTCTGAAATTGTGCTGGAAAACATTACTGTATTGTATCTTTCTTCAGAGCATAATCTGTGAAGCAAATGAGGAACTTTATTTGAAAAGATTTCATATATTGGCAATAATAGTAATTTTAAACCAAAAATTATAATTAAACTAGGAATAAATTTATTACAAATTTTATATTATTAAAAGATCTTTGTAGAATGACTATATATACCTCCCCTCTCCTCAGTACATTCAATAATGCCAAAAATTTTTTTGTGGCATTGTACAAATTTAGTTTGATAATTTAACATTTTTGATAACTTGACATATTTGATAATTTGGCATCACTAAAGTACTAAATGTGCCTGATTATTGGATTGTTGCTGATATTTGTAATTATTAAAATTATGTTTTCTTAGAACTAATTTCTTAGCATCTTAAAATTTCTTCTTATTAAAATTGTAAATTTGATTATATTTTTTCTAGAGGTTTTTTTAAGCGCAGACAGAGTAACTGGACATGGAAATTCTATATATTTTGGGAAAAGAAGTAACCAAAAAGCAAGTTGTTGAATAAAGTCACCTATTTTATGTATATTTGTTTTTATATGTGCATTAAATATTTCATAATAAAGTATTTAATTTACTAAGAATAATTGTTTTTATCTGTTTATATGTGCTATGTATTTATTGACTAGAAGTTTCATGCAATTCAGACATCTGCTGCCTTTTTTTTTTTTTTTTTAATGTAGCATAATGTAAAAGTGAAATTACTTATTATTACCTGCTTTAGAGAGGTGCTCTTGTAGAGACATTGTTTTCACTCATGGTCAGGTTCGTTTTTATTAATTTTTTAAAAGATCCTTGTTGCAGATATTACTTCTCACAATATTGCTTTTTTTAAAATATACTTTGTATAAATTAAGGATTTCGATTTTAAAATTGAAAAATTTGGGTTACTGAAATCATTGGGCAATTTTCTGCATGTAACAGGTCCAGTTTAAAATGTTTTTGATTGCATGGGACACACAGTGTGTTTCGTGTAGCCAATATTTAGAAGTAATCAGATAATAGATTATGTTCATTGGGAGCATATTAATAATGTACATGCATGTCTGTTCTCTATATATGAAGTACTTGTCAGAAAACATAAAACTTACTTGAACTTTTCTGCATGCAGAAATTTTTTAATCATTGCCAACATGTCATCTTTAAATCTTTCAAACTAAAAATACGAAAATTTAACAAAAGGGCAAATTAATCTTCTTATTAATAATATTTGATATTTTTCATTAATAACAAGATTGTTAGTAAAATAGTAGCTGTCTGAACCATAGTTTAATTGTTAGTTATAAATACTGTCAGTTTTTTAGTCATTTTTACTTCTTTGCATGGCTGTGACATGAAAAAAAAAGAGGGGAAGAAAAGCCATAATTTAGGGTGCTTCTAATGGATTTACTTGCTTCAAAATTTGTTATTATTTGCAATATACCCCCAAAAAATGTCACAAATTTTAATAGGGAAAAGTTAAAGCTTGCTTATCATATATACTGTGTGTTCATCTGCAGTAAGTCAACATAAAGCAGTAATCAGTTTCATTCCCACACAGGGTATAGCTGTGTACTACTGTTATAATTCATTGCTAGATTTCTTACAGTGTGGTGAGAAGGTCAGCACTGTCATGGTATGGTGAGTTTGTTTATCTCACAGGAGGCTGCAAGCAAAATGACGTCTTAAAATGCATCCATTTAAATAAAGATTTCTATGTATAAAATATTAAAATTTTTTGTGATAGTTGTCATTTTTTAAACTGTTAAATAAATGTCTCATGGATGAAGCTGGAAATATGCATGGTAAAAAATTAATAGTTGTGTAAATTTAATTATTTATATTTTTGAAAAATGCAGCTTATGAAAAGAATGAAAAGAATTTGTAATATCTCATAAATAATGCCAAAATCCAATCTGTGAAATTCTGTTCTGGAATACTGTCAATGCTGATAGCTTTTTCCATAGAATGGACAAATATTCTCTTGAAGTGGACTAAAGTTCCCCCCCCCCCATAATTTTGTGAAATATTGTATCCTTCTTTTTAAAGAAAATAAGGTGCTATAATTTATTACAAAGTAAATTTTAATTAACAGTAATTATTGATGATAGATACTTCAAAATTTTATCCTGGAGAGTGATATAAAATTCCACTAATTTATATACCATGTACTCGCACAACACATTTGCGTATTAAAATACCTATTTAGCTTTACATAAAGAGAAGTTCATTTAAAATTTCGAAAATAAATGATTTTTAGATGATATTATTTTCCCCGTCTTCGCAGTTGAATCAATTTTTGCTGTACCATTATTCATAGGCGTTTACTGCTGATGAGACATAACACACTAAAGGAGAGAAAATACAGTTGCTGACTTTAGAATTAAAGCAAGAAGGGTTATTATGATGCAGAATTATTATGATACAGAAATGCCTCTAATTTTGGTTTTTTTACTTAAATGTCTCAGGGATTTAGAATTTCTGGATTTGTGAAATGTCTTATCTTTCTTGAATAAAATCATTTATCTTTCTTAAATTTTGTTTTAGAATAAATATTTCTTTCATTGTGACGCAAATTTAAAACTTTTAGACTATTTGAAGTTAAAATGTGTAATCGCAAGACAATTTATAAACTTTATAAAAAAAATAACAGGTTGACATTCTTTATAATAGCCTAATAAGTTTTTTCATGGATTTATGTAATACTAGGTGAGGAAAAGAGAATGGAGTTGGAAGGAAACTCCATGTAAATAGGGCTAATATAGAAAGACTATTAAGTAATGCTGATAGGGATACTTACGACACAGTTTATAATTGTGCTAAAAGATTCATAGAGCCTTTTGTAAAATTCAAGAAATTCTGTGCGATGACATATATTTTGATTTGAAGAGCATTGATATTTCTATGAAATTTGCTTTGCATTATCTCAAGGCCAGATTATGCATGAGTTTATATGCTAATTGTTCATGACAGAATTGTGAATTTATGGAATTGATATGGCAAGTAGGCAGTGTTGGCACATAACATTTCTGTAGGAAATTGTCTGGTGCGTTTGTTCTGTAATGGAAAAGATCTCAATTAATTTGCCAAAATATGGCCCCCTATGCACATAGGGATCTTGACAATACTCATATCTTAAGACAGCATCGCTAGTAGTATCTTTGATCATTTTGTCATCATCGTTGGATCTGGCATTTCCAAGGAAAGTGCTGTCCAGACCAAAACACAATTCCTGTACTGTTATGTTGAACACCATTTCTGCAATCGAATGAAAAGGCTTAATGTTATTTTTCCCATATGGGAAACTTTCCTTTATGGTAAAAGTTGAAACAGGACTTATGAACCATATGGTGAGTGGAGATTATTGATTAGACCCGACACTCTTTGGCTTACCTGAGGCATGAAAGAAGGTTCTGTTCCTGCCTTGATATGAGGTTTTACTTGCGCTGTTTAAAAGGTATTAGCGTCATTATGTATATCTTTTTTCTAGTTTCTAGGACTGTACCACTGTGCTTTCAGATTCTAACCTTCAAACACATCAACCAGATGACAACTCCATGTATGCAAATTCAAGATTATATGCAGAAATAATGAAAACTACACCAAATAAACTGAATAATACTATACTGTTCTACACAAAAGATGCAAGAATATGTAAAAATTTTCAAGATAAACTGCAAGAAATAATTCCACAATAAAAATGAAACATAAATGTCAAAAAAATTAATACTATACGCCAAGGAGGCCTAGTTATTCACTGCCATAATCCAGAACACGTAAAAAAAATTTGCTATAATCTCCGTACTAAAACAACTGCAAAGGAATAGTTGACGTCATATTTCCCAAAGCAAGATTACCAAAATGCACAATTCATAATATATCAAAAAATTTCAATCCTGATGAACTGATTCAAATTATAGTCCAAGAAATACAATCAAACAGTTCAGAACTAATACCCTTATTTAAATCGATTGGTCCAAACAATAATGAAAAACGGGTCATAGAATGCCATGACCAATCTTTTCAAAATTGTATAAATAAAAAATATATATTGGATGTTGAACCAATAAAATAATCGCATTTTTTTTTTTTGTGTGTGTGTGTGTGTGTGTGTGTGTGTGTGTGTGTGTACGCAGATGCCAAATATGGCAGGACGTCTTCCACAAAATTGTTACTTTAAACCAAGATGTTCATTCTGTGGTGGACAACACCATGTTTCTAATTGCACAACTCAAACTCCATATTGCATTAAATTATTGGATTAACAATGAAAAGTTTGCCACAAATTTTGACTGCAGTCACCTTGCTTCAACTATTTTCTGTTCCACACACCAAATAGAAATCAAACAAGTTAAATCTGGGAGATACCAAAGAGTGTCGGGTCTAATCAACAATGATGCAAGATACTATAAACTACCTATCGATAATTTCAATCAACAAAAAGAATTAACTGCACCGATTGTAACGTATACTTACTGCCTAGATCGCCACAACAAAGGCATTAAAAAATTCACATTAAACTATAGACTATAAAAATAGAGTCATGGCAGCAAAAATGAACTGAAAAAGGAGTCACAGTGCCTAACTGCTAGTCATCAAATATATAAACTTAAATCATGAACTCTTTTATATGAAATCTTATTCATGAACACTTTAATGATGCAGTAACTTGAAACACAACATATTCTCTTTATTTTCTTTAACTTTTTTTATTTTACACATTATACATGACATATAATCATACATTATTATATGTTTTAACTTTTTCCCTAAATTTGGAAATTCTAATTGTATGATATTTTATGTTTCATCTTTTATGTATTATTCTTTATTTTATTTCTATGTATTTTATGTATATCCTTCTTCTTATGTATTTCATGTATTTCATGTTTATTCTTATTTATGTATTTTTGCATTTACAGAATTATGTATTTTTATCTACAAAATTGATACATGTCTGTGATATGAATGAGAGGCCCGGTTTCTACTGGAGGAGGCAATCCTGGCGATGTAGGCTATGTCCATCCGCTGCTTCATATTGAATATTCTCCCTTTTTGACCTCTTCTTAATCAATGCATCTCTCTTAATAATAATTTATGTATATTTCCAAAGAATGGTCAATAGCTTTTTTTTTTTAATTTGCTCTATTCGGTTAGTGTTTGGGAGCTATACTTGTTCGATCTTAAATGAAGTTTCTGGTTCTTCCAACACTTTTACCTGTACTTTCAGGTAGTACAAGTTATGCCACATGGGAATATTCATGAAAATAAGCGAAACTGATTGAACAGTTTAAGATCATTGGAATTCATTGCTGAGAGCTGCAATTTGATTTTCGGCATAATTATAGAAAATATTACAGTAATTTAATAGAAAATATATCAGTAATTTAAATCTATAACAGAAAATTACAAAAATGTTAAATTGATAAAGACAAACAAGCAAATGATAGAACAAAGCAGTAATTAATTAAAAATTCATTTAAATGTATTAATTTTGATAATTTGTTCTCTTACTGATTTTTTTAATTTAGTGATTATGCATAGCATGTCCTAAAGGCTGTCTACATGTTAATCTAAATTTTGTGAACAGTTTGTAGTCATTGGACAGTCAGGTGCACATAATATACAATAAGATGAAGTTCTGTTTATGGTAATTATTGTGAGTTTTCACTTGTACATTATGATGGGAGAGAGGGTGAAGATCCCTATATGAACTGTGAATAACAGATCTAAAGTTTTGGATGTATCTTATTTTAGAATTCTAAATACAGGATCATTCTTTGTCTGCAAACCATTAAACATGCAAACGACTTAAGTTATTGAAAATTTATGAATATGGAACATGCTGTAGAAGCCTATTATTTTGCAAAAATACGGGCCATAAGTAACAGATAGAATGTGTCTCATGGACTTACATAATGCAAACTTGGTCCAAATCCAGGTGAACGGGTTTTCTGCCTAAACATTTTAGTGTTTTCCTCTGTGAGCAACATAAACATGAGCTAATTTTCCTTTGAAAATCCTCCATGGATGCTACCCGTTGGTAGGGAACCTTTAAAAGCCCTACATGAATGCTTCCGTTACATAGAGAGCTCTTGAAAATTCTCCATGACTGCTTTCCTTAAGTAGAGAGCCCTTGAGAATTCTCCATAAATGCTTCTTTTAGCTAGAGAGCCTGTGAAAATTCTGCATGAATGCTTTCCTTAGGCAGAGAGTCTTTGCAAGCTTCATCGTGCACAGCTTGTTAAATAACTCTAAGAAAGGAAGGAAGAGTCGCATCAAGTCAGCTGACGCTGAGGTATATGATGTGCAGTTTTCATTATCACTTATTGGTCCAATTTCATTCTCTAAAATGCTTTGAACATTGCCTGCTGTGGGCAAACTTGTGGTGAATTTTGAGCCAGTTTGATGACTATGTGCTATGAAACTGTCATTTTTTAACAGGATAGTTTTAACTATCCTGTTAAAAAATGATACTTCACTTCTTACATAAAACTGTGCTTGAAGTTTAAAATTTATTTTGCGTGTAGATTAACTTTCAAGAACATGTAGTTGCTAAGGTCTTCTAAACTAATTTCCTGTGACTTTTTACTCTGGGTGCCTTAAAAGAAAAAAAAAAAAAAAATGTGTACCAACAACATGTTCCAAATGACGATACCACATTTGGAATATTGGGGAAAACTCTGGTTTTTTTCAGTTATGGAAACACACACCAAATAATTTTGTCTGGAGATTTCTATGTGAAATTTGATAGTTCCAATGGAAAAAAAAATATTTTTGTCATTAACTCATTTCAACTGTGATAAAATAATTTACATATTTAAGAAATATATCTCACAACTAAGTTATTTCAATAAAGAGAGAACAAAATAGAATGACACACTTTACAAACTTTTTATTAACAGTACTTATATTGAAAACAAGAAAATTGTCATAACAGAAAAGAACAAAACATTTAGTTTAACGATGATCTCTAGGCATTTGTTAGTACATATATTTTTCCATAGAAAATTGTTTGGTGCATGTTGTAGCATAACAAAAAAGATTCATTAACTTTTTCCATTGCCTCACCAGTAGACGAATAGTTAAGATCACTGGATATTATTAGTTCAGTCTGGATTCGAACGAGTTTGCGGTATGGTTGGTTTATGTGATTTCTGTATGAACCAGTTTTTCTTGAAAGAGTGCACAAGAGGCGTAGTGGCCCGAAAGGAAGCCCTCTACGAAGGCATCCCTCCCTGGAAGCTAGCCCTCTTGTGCTTTGCCATATTCAAATAACCAGACCCTTTAGAGTAAGATTGAAATTTGAAAAGTAGTCGCAACTTAGGCACCGTTCCTAAAAGAAATATTTTTATTAGTTGGTATTATTGTATAAACCATTATAAAAAATAAACGTACTTCATTGTATTATTTATATATTGTATAAATGAAAAGAATAGTTGTAAGGCGCCACAGAATATCGAAATGATCCCCCCCCTTTTCCCTGAAAAATTAAGAAAATATGTAATTGATTATATCTAATAGTTTTCAAGTGTGGAAGTTTTCAAAACATTTTTGCAAGTACAAAGGCATTCTGCATTGTTGACACTACCAGAAAGTTTTGCTTCTGATTTGATTACTTGGCTCCCTTTAAACAGTTTATTTTCTTCTCAGTTGCAAGAATATATTCTGTAAATGTTCCCAAGTTTTGGCCTTGAACTTATTGGTGTATCATTATGTGAAGAATGCCTATGAATTCTATACTGCGGTAGTGTAAGTTTTTGTAAAATTTGTTCTGATTGATGTATGTCCAGTCGAAAGTCTTCAGTTAGGTTTTTGTTCGTATTGTTTATTTTATTACACCAGGTGATTAAACGTCGCACATATCAAACATTAAAAAATTGCAAAACTTGGTAAATGGATATTAATGGGAAATTGTTCCAATAGATGACACTTCTATAATATAATAGCGTATCACTTGAAATTTCAGTTGCAGTTATGCTGTTAAGCTTTAAAAACCGTTTGTTTAGTGCAAGATGGAGGTGAGTTTTTCCCAAGCAGAGTGAAGTGACCAATAATGTCTCGGAATATAAACAGTGTTTTCAAATATTATCACTTGAAGATGGCCACCTCCACAGAACACCAAAATTATCGCAAACCATGAATGGCATCTCATTCATGGTTTGCGATAATCATTGCACTTTATTATAAATGAGTCATTGCACTTTATTATAAATGCACACAGGGTCCTTTCTTTTTTATTATAAACGCATGTAAAATATTTTCTCTTTATAGCATAATTAGTGGAGTTTTTGATATTGTTGATAATAATCAAAACGAGGTCTAATGGATTTGATCTTAAATATTAGTATTAATTGTTTTAATATGTATGTAATTGTGTTTTAAGACTAAATAGAACACTTATGCAAAAGGTAATTTCCCTAAGTATGGAGTTCTTTACAAGATAAAAAGATACATAATTTGCAAAATAATTCTCAAAAAATTTAAATTGTGTGAACTAGAGTAGTTAGATCGCATAAAGGCACTGATATTTACTTTTGTGATTGTTTAATGATATAGTTATGCTGTATGAAAATGGATATGTTTTTGATAGAATTTTTTATTGGCAACCTGTTCCCAAAGAGGAACAATAAAGAACAATTAAGTACATAGCATATACTGACAAACATTTACATAACATTTAATGGAAGAAATCTTTACTCTAATTTTTATGGCACAAAAGTCAAATTATTTGTCACTTTTGATGACAGTGTGATATGTTAAGTACTACCTATAACAACCAATATCTAATTTGGGTAAGATCATAAATTAACATCCACTTACATTATAAGTCACATTATAAGTCATTTCACATTTTCTATAAATTGTACTGTATAAAAAGGCAAAATTTTACACCAACAAAATAAATATTTTCATTTTGATTATTTTTAGATGATTTATGTTTGCGCAAAACGTAAATAAATGTGTTACTTCTGACTATAATGTAAGTTTTCAATGATGCAACATGCAGCAGAACCGAAAGAAAATTTTTATTATAAGTACTTAATGTATTTTGTTATATTAAAAGCAATTATTAAAAAATTCATAGTTATTTTACTTACAATTTGGTTAGTAGTAATTTCTTAAAAAATATTTATATTTTATGCATGATTTTCTTAAATTTTCTGAAATAATGCTGAAGTTTCTTAATTAACGAAGAATTTTCTTTAAACTTGTCCTTCAGCTACAAAACAAATTAGTCAATAATTTTTGTATAATACTTGCTTTACCAAAAATTTAAATTATTCTTGTTATAAAAAAACATAATGAAAAGAGCAGAAAACAGAGCCACGCAAACATACTTTTAACACACGAGGACAAATCATAATATTAAGCACCTTATAAATTTATTTTGTTATATTTTAATTTTTATGCCTTCTTAGATTTTTTTTAATTGAAGCAAGGGTCTTAATCGGCATGACTGTGGTATGGAACGTATTTTCCTTATAAATTTTGCTAAAAACATAAAATCTGCAAAACACACAGAATATTTTATTACTTTTTTGTTAGATTATCCTTTTTTATTTTGTATAATATTAGCTGATTTGTAATTAATCAAATAAATATATATTTTGATGACGAAATAATAAAGCAAAATGCTGTATTGACAGCTATATACACACAATAAAAACACATTTCACATAAACGACAGCAAAGGGGTGCTTAAGAATTTGCTTGAAAAATACTGTACGTAAAAGTACTAGGCAAAGACAATTAATTTGATTATGACCAGAAAAAGTAATTTATGTCGTAACATCTGAAATGAATACTTTCTGTCTTTTGTCATGCTTTTATTTGTAAAAAAACGACGAACTTTACTGACATCACAGTGCCTAATCTTATTCAGACATACCACTTCCCCCTTTTTTTTTTCTGTTACCAACATACCTTCAGTTAAAAGAACATTTTTCTGTTACAAACACCGAGATATATTTTTATGTATATATACATGTAATTTAAAATTATACCCTGGACAAAAATATGAAAAGAATTCTTTCTCCTTTATATTTTGGTAAGCAATATCTGTAATCGCATATGTACTTATCATTAATGTTTTAAAGCTTTGCTTCCTTTTTGTGCAGACATGTTAGGTGAATGGGTTACTGCATTGATATTTCGTTACTTTGTTAAAAAGAACTGGTTATTAAGTATATAATTAATAATTGCTTTATCTCATCATTTTAAATTGATGTTTTTTTAATTAAATTTCACCACAGAATCTTGTCTGAAATTTTAAATTTTTAATATTAAGATTGAACTGGAAAAGAACTAAAAAAATAGAATTTTCTGAAAAATCTGAAGTGTAGTATAAAATTTTAAAAAAATTATATATATAAAATGCACTTTTTAAATGAACTATGGATTTGAACAAAAGAAAGAAGTTTTCATCTTGTCTTGTTTGGCTGCTTTAAAATGTGTCTTAAAGTCAAATTTAAATTTAAAGTAGTAATAATGATGATGATAATATTTCTTTTTGCTAATATAAAATTTATGCATTGGTTTCACTAATGTAATTTGAAAGAAGCATATTTGATCTATAGTTTCAGATAATTATTAAGTCATTCTGTACTGAATATCGTTTGCTTGAATGTTCATGAGAAAATGATTTTATTATCATTAAAAGATGTGACAGGATAATCATCGTTTCAGACATGATATGTTGAGCTACATTTTGTTTCGACTGTATAAAATTTTGATGTAGTTAGTTATAGGAGTCAATTTTCTCAATAAAAAAATATTGGAAGTTACTTTTCACCATTACTCATTGGAAAAGAATTCTTTTGTTAATGGTAATTTAGCTTTTCCTCATTTACATTAATTTATATTATGCAGAAAGGCGAGCAAGTTTTTGAATTCAATGAAAATTGCGGCTGTTTGTGTTCGTGAAATAAGTTAATGTTCTTGATATAATGTTTATGAAAAATTTTAGTTCATTAGCTATGAAACCTAGTTATGTATGCGTGCACCACGCAGAATCCATTCTCGTTTGCATGTTCGAGATTTAAAAAAAAAATCTAATGCTCTTTCATCCTGAGTTATAAACCTGAGAATGTCTCGCAAAACATAAATTTCAATTTTGCAACTGAAAATTTGGTTTGTGTTATTTATTTTTAATACAAATTATAAAGAATATTTTATGTAAAGCATTCAAAAAGCACAGATTCTCATATTTTCGGCTATATTTTAGTGTCTTTAAACTTATTTGAAAATTTTATTTAAATATATTTCCCGGTTCTTTTAAATTTGATATTTTTTTGTAATATTTATGATCTCGTTGTGTCTATCCTTATCATAAACGTGCTTCACAACCATAAAAAATGATATACTGAGATTAGGACTGGATGTGGTAAACTCCGGCAGTTTTTCAGGAGGGCGAGTCATTTCTTCTGTAAAGTGTCGTACTTTTTCCCTATTCTCGCTTTTCCACTGCCATCAGTTCTTGCATTTGCCTTTTCTTTGTTCTCTGATATCGGCGCATTCGTCGAGCCCATTCATCTTTCCAGTCGATGACGATGCTTCGATTGTCAGCTGTGAGACCGGCCTGATCTGGCTGACGTATATCTTTACCTGAAATGTAAAGTGAATTACATTTATTTTTCAAGGTAATCATTAAAATGAAATGCTCCTAGGTCATAATAATCGTAGAATTTTTTTTATTTTAAACGAAAAATATTTATTTATTTAAGTAATTCTATAAAGAAGAGTGTAGTTTGCACCACCGATTGAACGGCTAATCCATAAAATGCATATTTCAGCCTTTTATGTTTATTGAATGGAGGTAAATCTTCCAGTGACTGAATATAAGGCTGGAGTCATTGCGGTAATAAGAGAAATAGAAGACTGAGGCACTGCAATTTTAGAAGAAACCGATAGCAAAGAGGTAATAAGAGTAAATGTAGCAATACGTTGACACATACTAGTCAAATATAAAAATAAGTTGCTAAAAATATGCGAAAGAAAAACTTAATCCTACGAATGAAGAGGAAACTTTGATTTGAAGAAAACGTAAAATGATTATCCCTTTCAAAGTTTCGCTGTCAGTCCTCACCAAAATCGTCATTTTCTTTCCAGTAGCTATTTTAATGGTAGGAGGCATGCATCTTAAATAAATGTGTTGTTGTTATGACTTATCTCACTTGTCTAACAGTAACATCAGAACAAGCCCACGAAATGCCCATTGTGGCAAAGGAGTGCAAGATGCACCTGTCGTTGGCAAGAGTCTTGAGCACCATACAAGTGACAGTACGACTCTAGTTTTGATGGAGTTTGCTCAGTCCCCCCAGTTTTGATGGAGACAACCTCGAAGGGATGGGTTCAGTGGTCTCCCAGCCTTCTTCCCCTACCATCAATTTCTTGAGAGAACTTTCGGCATGCCACATATTTAGAGTGCCCCCATAAGACCATAATATTAGAAGCTGCTAAGAACGTGCTTCTAATTCTTAAATGAAAAAATAAAAAAAAATATGAAAGGTTTCAGATTTTTAACCTTTATTTATTAAATATCATGTTCTTTGCACTCAAACCATAAAATTCAGTTCAACAGCAATATCCTAAAATAATTTTAAAATGAGCATATCTTTAGAATTTTCGATACACAGTTCCGTGCGCTGGAGATAAAAATCTCTTTTTTCCCCCCGTAGAGTGTTGCCATTGCTCGCTTTTAAATCATTGAGTTTGTTAATCAAAAATTCATTAAAGTTTTAGAAAATATGAAATCGATAAAAAAACAAATTTCAAATTTGGTCTTCCACATGCCCATATTCGTAGGAGGATTACGTCATTCAATATTCGATGGCTCTACATACCGTTGTTTTATCACAATGTGAGAAATATACATACATTTAATGCATATTTTTAATTATTTATTTCTTCAAATATAATGCAGGACTCTAACATTTGGTGGCAACAGTTTGAAAAGTGAAATGGACATTTATAGTAATCGCAAAACGAAACCAATAGTCCTTCAGGGACAAAGCCCCTTTGGACTAAAAGCCAAAAGCTGGTATGATGAGGAATGTGAAATAATTAGCAAAAAGAAAAACCATGCGTACTGTCTTCTAGTGCTAAAACATTATACAAGAAATGCTGAGGATGAGTACAGAGAAATTAAAAGACAAGAAAGAAGATGATTCAAAATGAAAAAGAGACTATATTGGGAGGAAATTTTATAGGAAATAGAATATCTTAAAAAACAAAGAGACAAGAAAGTTTTATAATGTAGTAAACAATGCCAGGAAAGATTTTTGGTGCTAGGATAAACACTTGCTGTGATAAAAATGGTGACTTTATTAATGACAGAATTGAATAAATATCTCAAAAGAACGATATAAAGCAATCAGGAGGCAAATGTAGGGATTTACTTTGGGGTGGGACAAAAAAAAAAAAAAAAAAAAAATGGAAGAATATAACTTTTGACCAAAATTATAAATCTTTTCATGGTGACCATCTCTGAAAATGACCAGTGTTTCTGAGAATCTAAAGAACCTCGTTTTGAACGTTACTTCTCTAAGACTATCTCAAGCCCATCAGCTGTCGAGCTTTAAAGTAGCTGAACACTGGTAGTTCGGACTAGGATTCGAATCCCGGTGAACGGGCTAGTTACATGTACGTTTTTCGCGCCTTTTTCCATGTATAACGTCTATACGAACCAGTTTTCCTTAGAAAGTCCTCCACGAAGGCATCCCTTCTTTTAGGCAGCTAGACCTCGAGTGTTTTGCCTGGTGAAATAAACCGAAAACTAAGATGATCCCATCTTCACAAAAGGTCAAAATTATTTAAAACTGCGGGTGGTTATCTAAGAAAGAGTTTACAATGCATATGATATTTACTTTTAAAATCCTTTCCAGCAATTTGCATAATTACATCACTGATATGTTTAAAAAGCTATAAAAATAAATTTAACTTTTCATGGTGACCAGTGTTTCTGAGAATCTAAAGAACCTCGTTTTGAGCGTTACTTCTCTAAGACTATCTCAAGCCCATCAGCTGTCGAGCTTTAAAGTAGCTGAACACTGGTAGTTCGGACTAGGATTCGAATCCCGGTGAACGGGCTAGTTGCATGTACGTTTTTCGCGCCTTTTTCCATGTATAACGTCTATACGAACCAGTTTTCCTTAGAAAGTCCTCCACGAAGGCATCCCTTCTTTTAGGCAGATAGACCTCGAGTGTTTTGCCTGATGAAATAAACCGAAAACTAAGATGATCTCATCTTCACAAAAGGTCAAAATTATTTAAAACTGCGGGTGGTTATCTAAGAAAGAGTTTACAATGCATATGATATTTACTTTTAAAATCCTTTCCAGCAATTTGCATAATTACATCACTGATATGTTTAAAAAGCTATAAAAATAAATTTAACTTTTGAATTAATTTCATTAAATTAGTTACTAAATTATAAAACGATTTAATCTGCCAAGTTGTTAAAAGAACTTAAAAAAGCTGAAAATTCTTGAACAGTAGTTTATTGAATAATGACTCTGATTAACTGAACATAATGAAAAACTGATTAACTGAACATAATAACATAATGAAAAACTGATTAACTGAACATAATGAATAATCAGTTTTTCTTAGTTCTTCTCACAGATTTGCTAATAATTTCTTCATAATTTACGTAGTAGATTAGTTAAGAATTTCTTCATCATTTATGAAGATGTTCTGATGAATGGATAGTTTAAGAAGTCTACTTATCTAATTCAAATGTTGTATATATTAAATATGATTTTAACCCTCCAAATCTAAAATTCCTTTGGCAGCGGCAATGGAAATGTGCAGACTATTTTTAAAAGAATGTAAATTCTCGAAATAAGGCAATAGTTCTCTAAAGTGATAAAAACTCAGTCGTGAAACTGTGGAACACCACTTTAGAATAAATAATACAGTTGTTTCTGTATGAGACTAGAAGAAAGTTTGTAATGCATTTAATCCTTTAAAATTTATGGCAGTGTCTTTTAAAATTTTTATTACTGGTCTAGATTTTCTTTTCTTTCTTCATTCTAAGAGGGAAACATCCCTATTAGCCTACCCATTAAATATGTCATTTATAGCACACGAAAAGTTTCGGAATTGGGGATTAAGTTTTCCCTCCTCGTTCAGTGAAGCATAAAACTATTAAAAACATTGTTGCTCATTACAATATAATGCTATTAAAATCGATTATTACTTACCAAGTATGAGGTATGTTTGCTTGACTCTTATTTTCGGGCATTTGCATGCTAAGTCAGCGATATTGACCCAAAGAAACTGTGTACCCCTGCGGACTTTCGAAGGTCCTTGCTTGTATACTTGCATTACGTGAATCGTGAATTTGATCCAATTTCCGGACGTCTCTCTCGACAGAACACTGGCCTGGATAACTGCAACAAAAAGTCAGCATTATTTCAAATAAGTTGTTGATAAATAAATATGACAATATTACATGTTATTTGACTTGATTTTCATTACGCTTTATGTGAACCAAAAATAATTTAATGCAACGTATTTACCTTTACTGTGTGGAAAACCATACATGCTACTCTATGCATTTTCTTTTTAAAGTAAAAATACGAGAAAACTATTCAGCATATTACATTCGAGTCTGTACCTTGCAAGGTAAATCTAATTTTCTGGCTACGATAGATAATTTCTTTTTTATTTCTAGCTTTCGAAGTTAACTTGCTAAGCTTTTATTTGATTTCTCTCCAACTCATGATATTACCGTACAAGGGCGGCTCCAGAACCGGTGCAGCTGCACCGAGCGGCGTAATTTAGAAATCTCAGGAATTGCACCAGGCAGCAAAAGCGTAACATCAGGCTTGTTATCACATAAAGTATTTATTACTTATATTCGAATTCTAATTTTTTTTTCTGAATATTTTTATTTCTTGTTATTTTAAATTGACAACCTACACGATAAAAATTAAAGTTATTTACTTTTATTTTTACGAATATGTCACTATAAACAAAGAAAAGTCTTCATTCTTTTTCATGTCTTTTTCTTTTCACTGTTGCCGTCGATATAACGAGTGATCCGGATAAGACTAGGACATTTGAAATGCTCATAGCATTCTATAATTGCATGAAAAATATTTTGTAGCTTCTTAAAACTATAAAAGTTGCGGGTGATTGACATTTAATGTTCTTTATATGCTCGATATATTCGAAATACACTTCAGTTCCATCCAAAAACAATACAAACCATTTCCATATTCTGCGAAACCAATGCAATTAATTTCAATATCAATATTTTCTTTTTTTTTTTCTAAGGTTCGCAGATTATGTGTATGTATAATTTCTTGACAAGCCCCCCCTAAAAAAAATCAAGCTTAAGGTCTTTTGATCTAGGAGGTCATAGGCTCTTCGATATTAAACGGTCTTCGAAGAAGCTAGCGATATCTTATTTCACTCTGCTTTACACCTAAAAGGAAGGTTTTCTGAAAATAACAAATAAACAATAGAACAACTAAAAGAAAACATCAAGAACCTAAACCACTGACATTGATGAAGATACGCTTGGAGGAAAAAAGTTGCCAAAATATGGAAAGCGTGTTGGATTGCGTTTGGATACAGTTCGAATATTTATTATTAAAATAAACAGATAGAAATTTCAAATTTTTTTTTACGTCCCCAAAAATCTGCAAAACATATTTCTTGTAATAAATAAAAAGTTACTTACATTTCGGTTGATCTAGTCTTATTTAGATCAACTGTTATATTTTAGGTCTTATCCAATCCTTTTACCATTCTCATCGATTATGTAGTAGAAAATTGAAATCACATGCATTGTTTGCTTTATTCAATTGATAAAAATTGGAATGGCCACATAAAAACGCACCATAGAAGATACCATTCCGGAACATAAAGCTCTATCTTCTCTTCCTCTCAGAAAAAAGGAAACCACCATTTTGCAAACATTAGCGGCAACGGGATCATCAAATTCCGCTTGGCCACGCCCTTAGAGAGGTTTGTGTGAAGGAATGCGAACTGGCAACATCTATCTTTCTGCGAAAAGTGAGAAAAGTCATTGGAGCACGAATATGGCTATCATCCGAAATTCCGACGGATTAACGGATCGGAGTTATTTTATGGGTTGCCGCGGATCTAATGTTTCGTGCGCCGGATTACATACGCTATTTTTGGTTTAAGTCATCCAAGATAAAGGAATGAAAAATAGTGTTAGAAGAATCCGCAATATTTTATTTTTTCCATCTGATGTCATCCGCTGAGGCGCTTGCAATAAACACGTTAGCATCTTCATTAAACGGTATGCGGATATAATACTCTTTAAGAATCTGATGTAGTACAGTCGGTAGGCTATGGCAATCTGAATATCTGAGGATGTAGCCAACGTCATGAAATGTAACTCAAGTATTTTTTTATGTTATTTTGCTATACGATATGCAGTATCTTTTATTACGTATAATACTGTCATTCCTCTCTTTATCTTCTTGTTTTTGAACAACACATTTTCTAAATATTTTCCGTCATTTACTCCGTTCATTGGATCAAACTGATTGATAGCTAAAATTTTGATAACTCATTGATAACTGGTGAATTTAATATAAAAGTGAGCCGAAATTTTTCCCCGTAATATTAAATTGAGTTCAGATATCTCCTAATTTAGAAATTATATGACCATGAAATACGTGCTTAAACATACAGGGTTAGTACAAATGATTCATTTCTTTCGAAAGGCTATATTTTCAAAAATATTACGTACACTCATGAGAGATATATGAAAAGAACCACAAATTCACCAAGTTTTATTCCCTATTTCACAAAGTTTCCCGGATCAGTGCTTCATCGCTAAATATCATATTGGTGACGAAATCTTCGTCCTCCAATGTTGACGAAAAAATCTATTCGACGGGTGTAATCCTTCGAGGGTGTGAAATACAACCGTTGACGCAAAATCTTCCGCAGAGTTTTTTGTGGTATTCCGAACATCTGGTCAATTGACAGGACGAACATCTGGACACAGTGCTACAAAATGTATGGAATGAGCTCGATTATCATCTAGACCTGTGTCGTGTTACTAAAGGGGCACATACTAAATATTTGTAGAGGGTGTATAAACTTGGTGAGTTTGTGGTTCTTTTCATATATCTTTCATGTGTGTACGTAAAATACTTTTGGAAATATAGCCTTTTCAAAACGAATGAATTATTTGTGCTAACCCTGTGTTAAGTTTATATATCATTTGAAGAAGTGAAGAAATGAACTTCTGTTTAGTCAGAATTCAAATGTTCACTGCAAAAAGCAATCGTTTTCTTCAGTTTTACACAACCTGTGCATACACATTATCAAGTAATATCACAGTAGCAAGTAATAGGCAAATTTCATTAAGGATTGTCTGTTAGCAGATTGGACTGCTATCTAAACAAGCTAGTCCTTATATGACTTTTCGCGTTTTCCTCATGTAGACACTCTGAAATATGAATCATCATTTAAAATATTTCTTTTTCTTCTTTTTAGTGGTATCATCAATATGAGGAATTATGTGTCGATAGTCTCTGCTTTTTTTAATGCAATCACAGCAAAATTTTTATGAATTATAAGTTTGGTGAAAAATGAATGGTGCGAACTAAAGGAAAATTCGCGTAGTGGTCGGGAGTAAATCTTTATCGCAAATCAGGATTTATACTAAGAATCTTGCGAAATTTTTCGATGCTGTGGATTAGTACTAATACTTTCCAGGAATAACTATTCTACTAGTTACATAACCAACGAGTACGTAACTAACAAAAGCATTACGATCATCTACCGATTAACTAAGGCGAATTAACTGGTCCTGCCTTAAAAAATAAAGTTTGTTTATAGCGTAATAATGAGAAAATGAACACAAGCTACCTGCATAAAACAAAACTGCTTAAGAAAAATAGAAAATAAAAAATCCGTGAGGTTAAAATTAGTAGCAGTGATAGCAGATGATGTTTATAGTATTTGGGAGTTGTTTTTATTCCCAATAGCACGTAATTTAAATGTGCTTAACACTGATGTTATGAACACTGTACAGTAAGTAACAAAGGATTAGGCGACCTTTTGAGCTAGTTTGAATTCAGTAACATTTTTCAAGCTCTATTGTAAATACTTTACTTCAGTGTCATTTATAACCCAGTTTCTACAGGTCTGGTGATATTTATTCAGTAATTTACGGTGTGTTCTTTTTTTGTTTTGAATATTGGAACACTGGTCAAAAGAAATTATTCCGTAGATTAAACTTCTTGAAAATACAGGTAAAGTGCTAATAATGTTTTTCTATTAATTATAGAATGGAATATTCCTCTTTCCTATGCTTTATATCTGCGAATGAATTAACCGTGGACGTCGTTCCTGGTACGGATCCTACACATGTAGTTCTAAATTGAGTTAAATGAATTAACTACTCAAAGGAAGTACAGAGAACGATTCCCGAGTACCTCCTTTCAGCAGCTGCTCCTTTGGAACTTGGAATTACTTGTTATGCTGGCATGCAGCTATTATAAAATACTAGCTCTTACCAGGTCCTTAGAGAGCCCCGGAGGGCATGGTGAAAGTGAGAGTTCCTTAACTGAATTTCCCAGGGAAGATCATAGAAATAAGGTAGAAAAATAGGACACTTTATCCTCCATAAAAAGTAGGAAACGTCGACGAGAACTGGAAGCGCGTGGCACATGTAGCTCCCATCTGCTGATCGGAAAGAAGATAATCGTGGGGCAGGACAACTGAGCCCCAGCAGAACACTTTTATCTACCGTTCATTAGCGCCTTGTTATACTCCAACGCGCCATTTCTTCAAAATGTGTCTGATTCTGTCCCTTCTACTTGACTTTTAACATTTCCCTTAAAAAAATTCCCATTAACTCATTAATCACTCTCATAATACGGTATATACTACTATTTCTCTCACTTCACAGGTCCACCAGCGACCGAGCGGTAAGTCGCAGAACACTTGTAGTTCGACCTGGGCTCATTTCAAGGCTCACGGATTGGCTGCATGGGTGTTTTCATGGATTTCTCCTTATGTAACGTGGATACGAACCAGTTTCTTTTAAAAGTCCTCCACGAAGGCATCCCTCCCCTTAGGCAGATAACCTTCATGTGCTCTGCCATAATCAAATAAATTCACCCTCATTTCGGTGTACTGAATTCGCGTTTTGTAGAATTCTTGTACAAACCGAAAACCACTCGGTATATTTTCTACAAGACACTTTCAATGGGGATTCTTTATATGTAGTCAAAAAAAAAAAAAAAAAAAAAAAATCTGAAATGTTTCAGATTTTAAATTACGTCCAAAGGGGCGTTTTTTTAACGTTTTGAGTGTTACCTTTATTTATTAAATATCATGTTCTTTGCACTTAAACCATAAATTCAGTTCAAGAGCAATATCGCAAAATAATGTTAAATTAAGCATATCTTTAGAATTTCCGATATACACAGTCTCGCGAGCTGGAGATAAAAGTATTTTTTCTATATAACGTTGCCATTTCTCGCTTTTAAAGCATTGAGTTTGTAAATCAAAATTCGTTAAAGTTTTACAAAATATAAAATCTATAATAAAACAAATTCCAAATTTGGGATTTCAGATGCCCAATATCGCAGTAGGATTTCGTCATTCAAAATTTGATGGCTCTATGTACCATTGTTTTATCACAATGCGAGAAATAGACAATCATTTATGCAGATTTTTCATTATTTAATTTCTTCAAATATAATGCAGGACTCTAACATTTTGTGGCAACAGTTTGAAAAGTGAACCGACGTTTATGAGTCCGACGCAAAATCGCAAAACGAAAACAATAGTCCTTCAGAGACAAAGCCCCTTTGGACTAAAAAAAATCAATTGCTTAAACACATTTGGTTCATTTATGTAAAACAATGCAAATACTTTAACATTATTAAAAAAGCCGCACTGAAAAGCGAACTGCTGCCCTAAGATAACTTTTAACTTATTAGTCAAATAGTTATAGTACGACAAAAAAGAAATAAATAAATCTGCATTTTTACAAAATTCTTAATAAAATAAATCAAATATCTTAAATAAAATTAAATCAAAATTCTTAACTTATGATTTAATTTAATTTATTTATGTATTTATTTTGATCCTCAAACATCATTTGTTAAATCATAAAATTACTCTGAATGAATTAAGTCTATGAATGATGGGAAATAGGAAATAAGAAAAAAAAAAAAAAAAAAAATTACGACTTACCAAAATCTCTCTTGCAGAATTTATTCTGGTTCACTCTCTTTTTGGCCGACGGACAGACGCCACATTTGTCTAAAAGCAGAGGAAGACATGTTACATTTTGCTTCGTTCATTCAAAATTTGCATTATATATACACCAGAACAATTTCAGTTTAGTATTTTATTTTCGAGAAGGGGAAAAGAAACATAAAATCAAAGCTTAAAGCTCCTATTTTTAACTGATAAAGGAATCGGGAAAATTAATTACTTCTTTAGTTACATTCGCTTCTTGTTGCAATAAAGAAAATAAGGAATGCGGCTGTTTGCGATGATATAATGACATGTCTTCGGTGGAAAATAAAAATTTAGTCTTCCTCTTGATATATAGCAAGAACAAACCGATGAAAAGTCCACTAACTTGGATTTGAAAACTAGGTAAATTTCAACCTTAGAATGGCGCGACTTTTATAGGAAAACCTTATCAAAGTCTTCTCCAAATCACAATAATAATTACTGTCCCACCCGAGGCTGAATGGATAAGACTGCTGAACTCTGATGGTCTGGCTGATTTAGAAGCCAGTGTTTAGGCTGGCTGCAGGTACCATAGTTTTCCTTGTGCGCTGAACATAGTCTAGTTTCCTTAGAAAGTTTTCTACAAGGAAGCTATATTCCTGCTCTTAGGCAGATAACCCTAGAGTCTTTGCCATGATTGATAAGGCAAAACATTAAATAAACTGACTAATGAGCTGGCGCCAATGTATGCTTGGACTATGTGCTTAAGGAAAAGGTACTTGCCTTGCGAACGTTTTGAGGAAAATGCCTTGTAATTACGTTAAACATGAGCTAAAGTGCTAAGATGTTCTTCAACTAGTCCTTTTGAGTTGTCAAAGATTAAACTGAAATAAATTCTTTTACTAATCATCCGCAGTTTCAGACTATTAGTTGGCTGTTGTTCAAAGACCAAACGTATTATTCTGTCCCATTCTATCTGAAATATATCACTTAAATAGGTGTAATAAACTTTGTTTATTTAAAAACTTAAAATTAATAAAATTATCTTAAATAAAGCCATCCAGACGGTGTAGTGGTTAATACCCCGGGCTTGAATCCCGGAGAAGGGTATGGATGTAAAATTGTCTGTCTTTTCACAGAAGGCAACGGTGGACGCCCATTAGATGCCTCCACAATAAAATGGCCACCACTTCTGGCCTTAGGAGTGGCCAATGCCGTTATAGGCAAGTGCCTGCCGTTGAAAATTAATTAATTAAAAAAGTTTTTTTAATTAATTAAAAAATTTATATTGCCCCATATAAAAAGAAACCAGTAAATTATTATAATATTAGATAATCCAATCATTTATAAATCTTCTCGTTAAGTTCTTGTCAAGTCTTTTCGTTCTAATTTTTTTAAATAAATCTTAAAATGGTTTCAGAGAATTTGACAGAGTTTAGAATAATCACCAGCATGAACTTCTTTCCAAATTAGGAACAGGGGATAATTATCCCTTGGGCCTACAAGTATAAGATTTTAGATGGTCCTAAACCATCCTATATTCTTCAAAATCCAGTCTATCTCACATAAAAACAAGAGTAGTTGTGGCTGAGAGTCCGTGAAAGAACGCGTAAATTAGAGACCTGGGTGGCTTTTAATCGAGCCCTGCCACGAAATACTTCCCTCAACAAGGCTCCATTTCTTAAGAGTGTTTGAAACTTTTAAGCGAAATAGATTTCCTTTTCACCGCAATGACTAGAAAGATTTATAATGCTTTACATCTTTATTTCGTTCACCAGGTCAAACTATAAATTTTGTTTGTTTTAGTTATTATTTATTTATTTTTATTTCATCAAGTATCATGCTTCAGACAAAAAGGGGCAGCATTTGCTCGTTACTTGATGTTCCTTCGTTTGAATTAAACGATGTGCTTCAAAATTAACACATCATTTAATTCAAAAGATGAAGAACATACTAATTTTTTTGTTGCTAAAAGCTCTCAGTGGATCAAGCAGTGTGTAAAATTTCATGATTATTACCAGTAGTTTTAATAAATGATTTAAAACCAAAATGTTCGTTTACCAACGCTTTTGCACCATCTGAGCAAACTCCAACAGCATGTCTCCTTTTGTATGTTCTTCCAAAGAACAGGAAAATAAAAGGCCTTCATTAGTATTTTTCTATAAATATATATGACGTATACTATTAACTGAGCAATTTTTTGAAATATCAGTTGTTTCGTTCAACTGAATTGCAAATTTTGAGCTTTTAGTCTAGTAATAAACTGCTCAAATTGGTCGTTGCTAATTCCAGAAATTCTATTGGTGGCAGTATCGCTTTAAAAAAAATTACATTTAAATTTGGAAAAAAGTGTTTTCCGAATTTCATCGCCATATTTACATTCATGAAGTATTTCTATCATTTTTATAGCACCAGGTAATACAAGATCTTCTCCAATGGTATATAACCTTTTACTTTTAGAAATTAGATATAAAACTTTGTACTCTAAGAGTAAATATTTTTCACTAAACAGCTATAGTTTTTTTTTTCTTTATTTGAAGACTTTAGCAGTCATTTGAAATATTCTTTTAGTCTTCCCCCCCCCTCCGTATGAAGGATGTTTGCGTTCAAGGTTCCTTTTTAATTTTGATGATTTCATACTCTCCACAGTTTAACACTACTTGCAAATTAAACAGAGAAGTTATTCATTACCATCACAGTTGTTGAAACTAAAACTAAATAGGAGAAATATCTCGTTATATTATTTCCTTTAAGTCTCTATCTGATTAGTAAATCCTATTTGAAGAGACTTTGTAGCATTGCTATCTGCATCATCACGTTCGTTTTTGGAGTTTAATCACTTATCCACGAGTAAAAAAATACTTTTTTCCTAAAATATAATTTAAAATAACATCTCTCATAGTAATTATTTAAACAGATATCAACCTATTCGAAGAAAACAGTAAACTACAATATTGTATTTTTTTTTTTTTTTTTTTTTTTTTTTTTCGGTGTACATACTTGTTGCAATAAAACAGAAACAATTGACCATACTGGCAAAGCGTTATCTACACCAGTCGCAGCAGCTCCGACCTCTTATTTGCATGCCTGTGGGGCGCCGAACGTTACGTACTGTGTGTTTGCGGCATACTTTGATTCTGAAATAATTTAAATGCTGAAACGGGAATGCGCCACTGCTATTATGATGCATTTATTCTGCGGTATTTTCCAATATGTCTACATGATTTACAGTTCAGCATGATCGGTATTTAAAAGTTGCTCTGTACAGAAAATGTAATATATGAAATTAAAGATAATAAAGAAATTGCTCTGTACAGAAATAATAAAAGTTGCTCTGTACAGAAAATGTAATATATGAAATTAAAGATAATAAAGAAATTGCAGCTAATGTTTCTTTAAATTCCTACATCTGAATTAAATTTTCGCGACCCCAACATTTCGCTTTGCAAGCCCATTTGGGATCACGGCCCACTGTTAGGAAAACACTGATTTTGAGAAAGCGACGCCAGAACCTGCAATTTCGAGCGATCACTGCACTGTCGGGGATTTCTGCTATGAAGAGAAAATTCATTTTTTGATCCTGGAAAGCGGGTGAGTACAGTAGTGGGCTTTAAAATACTTATAACTAACTTGTCGTAAGAGGGTTTTGGCTTTCTTGATATATTTCATTAACTTCAGGAGTTCTTGTATGAAATTTCTAATGTCCTTATCAAACAACCAGCTAGTGGCTTCCTGTAGCTCCTTGGATGGATTAAGAATTTTCTTTTTTTTTTTTTTTTTTTTTCTTTTTTTTCTTCCCCCCTTTTTTTAATTGGTTTTTAATTGGGTTTTTGGTTTTTCTTCAGTTTGAAAGTTTATAAGTTTCGGGACTTATTTGGTGTCTGTGAACTGATGCGGATTTTCTTCTGTGACTAGAAGGTTTTTTTTATACTCCAGACAATCACGGAATGAGTTCCCATGTTCCATACAATAATATAGGTAGAATTTTCTGCTGGCTGCTATTTACAGTTTGTATTTCAATGCTCTAGACCAAATTTTATATGCCTTTCTTCTTTGTAACATGTATGTTGGGCATGTCGGAGTCGCTGTCATTGAAAATTTATTGTATTGTACGCATTTAAACTTTTCTGTATTTCAGGCCTTCGCCAGGAGCAGTTTTGTTAAATTTGAATTGTTCCTACAAGTAGCATTGTTTGAATAAACTTTAACTTCTTGTCTGTATTCCTTAGAGTTTCAGACTCTTAGAACTGATAAGCGCACCGTTGAGTCTCGATATTGTTTGAAGAGTGATTCCAGTCATGTTATAATCCGGAAAGAGTAAAATACTCGCAGTAAGCTTAAACGCATCTGTGAAAGTCATCGGTACAAAGGGATCATAGGAGAGCATTATTTTAAATGGCCACACTGATCTACTTATTTTTAGCAGTGCAACTATGATCGCTGAATTATGCTGAGATGAAGTTCTTGATCCTTATGTCAAGTTGTTTGGAGGTTCAATCGTTAATAATTCTACTAATGGACAATCACGTTCATCCCCTACGCGCTGCACATCTTGAGAAGGAATCCTGTGGATAGAAGGAATCCATAGAGAAGGAATTCACATAGAAGGAATCCACATATTCTCCATATTTAAATCCCGTAATATTTGTGGGACGCACTCGGACGCCGACATACGTCACTCTAGTTCCACCTGACACTCGCCAGGAGCTTCAATGCTCTATTCATTGTGAATACATTTTGTTCAAGCAAGAATTCTTGTACAATGTAATATACACCATGGGAAATTGTTGTAAAGCTTGTATTTTGATACAACAAACCTTATTAATTTTTGCTATGTACAGTGGCTGTTTCAATGTTATAGGAATTTAGGCATAATTTTTTCTTATTTCGTCAGTTTTCATCAATATTATAGTGCAGTTTTTCAACATAAATCCCATTTAGTTGAATACTCTTATTCTAAAAAAACCTTTTTTGTTAAGCTTGTAAAGATCTTAAGTTTTACTAACGTTTATTTTATTTTAAATCTTTACTATCACTTCTTATTTTCTACTTCCGGCCAGAATTAAAAGCGTTGACTTATT